GAGAGAGAGAGAGAGAGAGAGAGAGAGAGAGAGAGAGAGAGAGAGAGGTCTGGAAGGCGAGCGAATGAAGCAAAATCAAAAATTGTTTATGATTATATAAAATAATGCCACTTTCTCATTAGTGAATTATCTTAGTTAACACATTTATTTTTATCGTCTTTACCATCGTTTTACAATTCTTTTTTTTTGCCAGTTTATCTTTGAATACCTTTGCCCGTCGCTTCTTTCTTTCATTTTTCCACAATGACTTTCCAAGATGCGCACGGTGGGCGCATTACTTTACCTGCTTCTTCAATTTTTCGGTTTTTTCTTCATCTTCTTTTTTTTTCTTTAAATTTCGCACATTTTCAACACCATTTTTGTTGTTGCTATGAAGATTCACTCTCAGTACGAACGCAATGTGTGCGATGTGCATGTGTTTGCTGTGCTCTTAATCTTATCTTCTGCCGGAAATCCATTATGCATATACGCATACATAATCCTAGTCACTTTCAATTCACCTTTGCAATCACTTTTTTTCCAGTTCATGAAATTGCATATGGAATGCGTTGAAGGGACTGCAAACACACACACACACACACAATTTCGACTGCATCATGAGTTTTTCTTTTCAAAGGTTTATCCATTTGGCAAAGAAATAAAAAAGGGAAGAGAAAAAGAAGAACAGTACCGACCGTACGCGAGACTCTCTTTCGTAGCAGCAGAAGCAACAGCAGCAGCAGCATATATAGTGTTGAAAACGATGCTCGTTTACTGATTAAACAATATACATAATTCGGTTTAATTTACTTGCTTTTTCTGCTTGATGTTGATGGCAATTCAAATGTCTGTACACAATTTGGATTGTGCACACGACTCAAAACGGTGAAGCGAACGAAAAACAAAAAACAAAATTAAATGTACCTTCAGAGATTGCATTAGATAAACACGACGACCTGTTCCGTTACGCTGAAAACAATAAGACAAAAAATATATATAACGTAACCATGAAGGAGAAAAAAAAATGAGCGCAATACAGCTCTAAATTGAAAGTAAACGTTCGATCGCCGGGCAAACAGATTTGCTGGAGATGATGAAGAAGAAAACAAATGTTGCTCAGTTCGTATCATTTTTATTTCATTTTTTGAAATGAAAGAGGATTGGGAACATATTTAAGCAAAATGGTAGCCAAACATTTACTAGCCATCAAATTGTGCAACCCTTTCGCCTTTGTTTACGATTCTACTTTCATTTTGCACGGGCAAAACAATATCCCAAAAAGAAATGAACACATAAACCATATAAGTATGTGATTTTTCACTTTGTACCTTTCAACATATATTCCACAGCAATAATTCACAATTTAGCCACTGCAACTGCTGGTCAAACTCAGTCACCATACAAAAATGGCCCATTGTGTAACCGTCATTTAGCCGGAATGCTTTTTTCAAGTAGCCCATAGTAAATGGGCACCGGATAATTATTTCACATTAATTAGGAGCATATTTTTAATCAATTTCACATGAAAATCGTGAATGATATACACAGCCGCTGCTGCCACAAACATGAATCAAAATGTTCTGTTGCCAATTGAATCGACCTTTTGTCTCTCTTTTTCGCTCGCATTCTCCAATTTGTCCATTTCCAAATGTATTTCGCGCATTTCACATGCGGTAAACATTTTGTCGGTAGCTTTGAATCATTTCCAACTAATTAAATGCATTAGTACTTTCTCAGAGGTGGATATATGTGATGCGAAAAGTTTGAATCGAACAGTTTTTCGTTTCATTTGGTTTTATTTTGTTTTGTTTTTTTTTTTGGGTCAGAGATTTTTAGTAGGTTAAAAGCAACGATAAGCATGTGTGTGTGTTGCAACATGTCATCCGATTCTATAGTCAATTGTCAGTAAATGTATTCCAGATTAGTTCTTGTGTGTCATGTCATTTGAAATTTCAATTTGAAAACTTTCTCCCATCGGTTATGCAAGCAAGATAAACACCGAAATCGAATTTGAATAAAACCGGTCGATTAGCATTTCGGATGACGCCCTTCTTCAAACGAACACATTTTGGAATTATATTAGCCATGGATTGACATTGATTTCGATTTTGAATTGGAACATTACATTCGAAGCGTGTGTATTATACATTCGTATAATAATAATAATACGACGATGAAGATGAAGCGGGTAAATGCGTTTATTTACATAATTAGCCTGACGAAACCAACCGATTTTGGTTTTCATCGCTGTCAAATAGAAATCGAATCGCTGCGATGCGCACGTTCTTCAGTTCTAAATACATAAATTCACTTTCATCTGAAACCACACGGCACAGACAAATTAGGCACAGCTCCCAATAAAATGATAGATTAATGGAAATTTAATGTTATTTAGTTATGACCTATTGATTGATGAACCAAGATTAGCGATCGCTAACCCGAACGAAACACAAACCGATGGAGAGAAGAGAGAAAAAAAACTGAAATTACTTAACGATATAAATAATACAATGTGTTTGGTTTGTTTGAATTTTTTTTGCCAGTGCCGGGAGAGAAATGATTAAATGGCGCCTAAAATACCTAATTTATCTTTTCTTTCTTGGCTGATTTTCTAAAGCTTCGCTGTTTGATACTAAACATTATTAATGTTTTGATATAAAACATGAATTGAACTACACACAAAAAGTCCTACATTTTTTTTCGACTCTCTATTCAATTTAATATCATAGACAAAATACACTTTTTGTTCCATGACAAAATTGAACCGAAACGATTTTATCTCTAATTTTTTTGTTGTTGTTGTTTCTTTCTTCTCGTTGTACACGAATTGCAGATGATTAAGATGATGGTCACTATTGTAATCGTCTTCTCTACATGTTGGCTGCCGTTTAATGTTTTAGTGGTAAGTATTTAGATATTCATCTTTTTTTTAAGCAATCACCTAATGTCGCTTTGTTTTACCACCGCAACAATAATCATAAAACAAACACACAAAAATGTTATTCGCAATGGCATTTTTGCTCTGATTTCAACCAAAAACAAAGCCTTTTATTTGTGTTGAGTTATTTTAAAGAAAAAAGAAATATAAAAAGAACCGACGAAAGATTTACATCGGCAATTAATCAGTTTTGTGAGCATATCGGCTGCGGATTGATGACCAGAATCGACTGAAAATGAATTGGCTTAAAAACTGATTCAATGGCATATATGGTGAACATGCAAGAATGAGCTGCTGTTGAACAACGGTATGTCTCTCTCAGAGATGTCAAGAATCGTGCAGCGAAAGCGAAAATATTCAAAGAGGAAATCGCGGTTGCAGTAGAAAGTGTGGCTTGCACCCAATGCAATACACACAAATACACGAAATAAAACGTTGTGTGCCGATGATGCCACTGCTGCCGCCGTTGCTTTTTTACGATTCATTTTAATTTCTCTCATTTTATGCATATTTACGAGATATTCAATGCCTATTCACTCTCAGTTTCGACTAAAGAATCTTGGGCGTTTTTTTTGTTGTTGTTTTGTTTTATATAAATATGTACTGTGGCTGTTATCAAGCCGTTGAATATTTAAAGAGATTTTTTTTTCCTTCTAAAATTGAAAATAAGCGAGAAATATTTCACTGGAATTTCCACAGATTTTGCTGCACAACACTGCACTAATGCAATGGGAGTTCATCATCTACGTATGGTTCATATTCCATTGGCTGGCTATGTCACATTGTTGCTACAATCCCATTATCTATTGCTATATGAATGCACGGTTTCGCATTGGCTTCCTGCAAATACTTTATTTCGTTCCTGGAATTCGACGATGCTGCTGTATCAACGCCTATACACGTGATCGTTCCACAAGCCTACGGACTGGAATCGCTTTAACGGGTAAATTTGACTGATTTGTGTAATTTTTGGTCGGTCAAACATCGGGTTTTTTTTATGGTCATATGTAAAATCATACTCGCAACACACACTGCCATGGCAGAGTAATAATCCATCATCAAAATGTTACTGCGCCAGAATGTGTTCGTTGCGTTGGAAACGTTATTTGGAGTTCATTATGAAAATATGTTTAACGTTGTTTCCGGAATTTACAATTTACATTGCATATCAAAAGGATATTCTCATATATTAAACTCGTTTTCTGTGTACTTAAACACATCATTATGAGTCTCATACATTGTGTTACATGATATCGAGAAATTACGGTCTCATTTCGATAGAATGGGATAGGAATTTTCATGTTGCGCCAATTTCGATTTTATTTCCGTAGGGAATGAAATTGAAACAGCAACTGCTCAATGAAATAACTTTCACCTTGTTTGCTAAACTGTGTATGCTTGTCTGATTAATGAAACTAACTTCTGTTTGTTATTTCTATTTATTCTCTTTAATGCTACTCGTTCATCGCCTCACGTATTTCCGTATGGATAATATGCTGATTCTGAATTGAATACCGACACATACACACACAAAAATCTGTTTGGTTCGTACATTTTTCTCCGGCCCTCCTGGAAACAACCCAAAAATCTCTTTGCGCTCCACAACAACCGCAGGAATTGATGAGTCTGGCCACCTTCATCGCGTTAACACGTCAACAACGTTCATTAGCACCCGAAGAAAGACGAATATTTGATGTAATGACGAGAATCGACAACAAGCTCAGAAAAATAAGAGGAACTTAGTATGTGATCTATAAAAAAAAATGAATCGTTATAGCCATTTAGTTTCAATGTGTTAATTTACCTCTGCGTCTGTGTTCAAACAAGAAGAAAAAAATAAAAAAAATTATAGTAAGATTTCACACACACAAACATAGTAACAGTGACAAAAAAAGAACTATCGCCACAAAAGCGACCGAGCGAGAGAGATTTATACAAAATGAAACAAAAATCATGTTGAATTTGGCACATTTAAGAAGGTTTGTCAGCTGTTTTTGAGCGAAATACTTAGCGGAAACGATACAGTTTAGCGATTCGAATTGGAGTGGAAAAACCAGTTTTTCAAAGTGAGAGAGATATAAAAACGGTGTTCTTTTTTATTACCATTAAACTGCATCATTAAAAAATATGTAGTGCAATGGAAAATGTTAAGTGTTCCGGCAAAACTCGATTCAAGTTGACGGTCAAAATCAAATGGTGTGTATTATGCAGAGCAAATTTAATTTCGATGTGTGAAGAAAATTAAGCTCGTGCACTGAGAAAAAAAAGAACTACAGCAAAAAAAAATCAGCAAACCAACAGATGAAATACACTGGAACTCAATTGAAATTGTGAAATATTTGGCGATTTGAGAGCTGCGAAAGTTGAGAAAAAAATATATATACAAAATAAAGATGGGAAAGCAATTTGGCCGCAAAAACACAGAATACCGTGAAAATCGATAGTCGACGCGAACATCGTCGTTATGCACATCGACTATATTTCATTCAACGTTTAAATTCACCGTGTTAAATTGGCCCATTGAATTTCATTGGAATTCAAACATACACAATGTTTCGTTAGTTGTTATTTGATTATTATTATTTTTTGCTTTTTCTCTCCTTTCGGACAACTATCTAATTGCATAAGCCCCCGTAAAGGCGCCAAATAATCTAACCGCTTGAAATACCCGTTGTGCATACAATTTTATAAAATGAAGAGAGAATGACGCATCTATTCAATAAAGCATTTGTTAACAATTAATGTGTTTTAGGCTAAAGTCTTAAAAAAGAGAACGTATTTCTCCTGGTCGAAGGAATCGAATTACGACATAAAATATGAAACACGCAACACATGGAGGCACTCTTTTTTTTAGATAGGTGTTTTTTTTCGGTATCTTATACTTACATCTTATATCTGGTTTTGTTTTTTGGTTTGTCTTTATCGCATTCAATCTTTACCGTTTTTTTCCTTCTGACCATTCAATCTAACTAACTAACAATCTGTTGCTGGATTTTCCATATAATGCTATGCCAACAAAAAAGGTTTCCGCTTTCTTGCTGTGTGTACTTTGCTTGCAATCCCAATTTTAATCCAAAATGCATCGAATTATGCAAATATACATATAAGTATAAGATTAGCAAAATGAAAGTTCGGTTGTATTCCTAACTGCTCAGATGTCTGAAACAAAATGTATGAGATCACGAAAATATAGATATATAAATTGATATTTAAAATCGGTGTTGAATTAGGTTGAACATCTTAAGATATGTCGTTTGGATATAAGAATAAAACAAAATGAAGAAAAGAAAATCAATTTTACTTTAGATTTAAAGAGTCGTTCGATGTTTGTATTGGTTTTTTTTTCTCTCGATGTAAGCATTTGATCGTATCAATAATGTGGTGCATGTGCACAGAATAAGCCGACGTTTCTGTGCATCAAAGAAAAATCACAATCACTCACATATCATCTGACCAAATTCGGATCAGTGATAAATTTTGTTCGGTTTCTTTCATCATCTTATTGATACTTTTTATCGTACGTTAGACGCTAATTTGTACAATTTCCTCGCAATTTCAATCAAAATGACCAGATTTTGGTCAAACCCAGAAAACCAAATTGACTCATCGTGGTCAAACTAAGTATTAACTGAAATGGTGACAAACACACACACACAAACACACACACACAACGTGTGTGTAATTGGATTTTGGCCAAATGGCCAGGTATCCGATTCACAAAGTTTTGCATAGATCAACAGTAGACAGATCAGTCGTTCCTTCTGAAAGAATAACAAAATGTTCAAAGAAAACAAGAAATTGAGGGCTATTCGAAATCAAAACAAAGATACGGTGTTTTAGTTTTTAATTTTTGGTTTATTTTGTGTTTGATGACTTTTGAGTTATGCATAACATATATTCCCTTCGTTAATTGTATGATATCAGTAATTATAATAATAATCATCATCATTGTCATAAAATTGTAAGTTTTGTTTTTCTCAGGCTTGCAAGTTTTAGATTTTTTTCTGTTTGTTTTTTGTTTAAATACTACCATGAATGCATTTCGATTTGCTTTTAGATTTGTAATATTTGAATTGAAATGGCCAAAAAAAAAAATCTGGTTTGTTTTTGTTTTAATGAAATTGAGAAATATATATATATAGCTTCTTGGCTTGGACGATAAACATTTTTTTTCCTCTTTATTAATCCGACGATATATAAATTGCAGTTACTTCTTCGTTAGATTGGTTTCGGTGATTGAAAGTTATCGCATGAATTTTCATAAGATTTATGAATATTCATAAATCAAAACATTGAATAGAAATTAAAATGGCTACAGGATTAGTGTTTAAAACGGATGAAAAATGGAATTTGCCTCATTCGTGTGTAATTGTTTGTATCATAAGACTCTTTAAATACAGATAGTGTTGTGTGACTTTATCGTTTGAATGAGATTAATGCTGGCTTAACAACAATTGAGATTACAACGAATTGTAGCTACATCTGAAGTGCAAATTCACTTTATTCCAAAATCTGTTAACGATTTCGATATACAATTTTGCTGCCCGGTTGACAATCTCAATGAATTTAATCGAAAAAACAAAACAAAGAAAATGTGTTACATCTAGTTTAAAGTCCGAGCGTGATCCAGTCAAATAAGCTCAATGCTCTGAAGCAAACGAAATAATTTATATACCGTTGGAAAAGCTAAGCGACAAAAATTTCCTTTCAATTATGACATGTTTATATAAATAAGAATGAATCTGTTTCCTTCAATGAAAATTGAGAATTTCTATCATTTTGTGTTTTTTTTAGTTTGCATTTTCGAATTGAAGCACACAGTTTTTATGTATATTTGTATATAATATCTATATAAATGTATTTCACGTGACAAAATAATATTAATAAAAGAAAAGATTGAGATAAATTCAAGAGAAAAAAAAACAAATGGCATTTTACAATTAAAAACAAAAATCATTCATTCATTGTCTTACTTAGTCCTCTTGCTTTGTACTGCATAACAAAATCATATATAGCTTATGGTAAATTTAATAGTAGCAATAATTTTTTTGTTTGTTTTTGTTTCTTTCCATTTTTGTAATTAAATAATTTAAATGTGAGAAATGATTCTAATGCGTACACATCTAGCGGCTGATTACACATTATTTCTTACAACATTTGCAGTTATGCCTATATTTCTATGAGGTGGGACTGGTGGTCTATAGTCTTCATTGCGGTTTAGCCCACGGCAATGGTGGTGCTTTCTTAAATTGACGCTTGTAGACGGTTCTGAATGCGAGGGAGCTTCATGAGTATTGCTAAACATTCGCGCAGATGGGAAAACAGAAAATCGGCTCGTTAAATTTTGAATTTTGGTACAAGTGGAGGAGTAGAAAAAAGCATTTCAACTAAACATTGGTCTGTTTGTAAAGCTTTAAACCGAGAAGCAAACTACTCAATTTACTTAAGCAAACGATTGCCTACCTGTAGGAGGGTCCAGCAATGCTGAAACGGGCATCGCGATTGATTCGACTGATATCGTCAAAAGTCGATGCTTGTTGTATGGAATCGGGAGCTTCCATATAATTAAGTGGTAATGGGTTTCGTGTGATGCGAATTTTCGAGTCTGAAATTGGCAATCGATTAGAATTAAGTATGACAAATTCATATAGAAGATCCAATCCCATTATTAATTTGAATTTACCTCTGGGATTAACGAAATGGTCGTTATTTTCACGAATCATCGACGAACGATCCATTGTTGAACGCCCAAGCCAGACCCAATTGTGTGCGTTTGTGGTGGAATCACGGTTCTTACGCGATTCACGTAGAATAGGGAAATGACCAGATGCAGATGTAGCATTGCCGGCCGTTGTCATACCAACCACCGGTCGATCTTTGTTATTATTCTCAAAATTCATCATTTTATGCTTGGAAGCGTAAACAAAACACGATACTACAAACACTACGATAGCGAAGCAAAATGTGGATAGCAGCACATACATTCCAATTTCCAGAGCAGATGTGGCCGACGAATGTTGCAACGGGAAAATGCCATGACGATTCGATAGAGAGTCACCGTTTGGTTTCTTTTCATCATTATATGGTATGCCGATTAGGATATCGGTGAGTGAATTTGAGTCTTGGTTCGTTTTGCGATCACGACTACCGACCCCATCGTTTTGGAATGTATCTGGGCTGTCTGGAAATTCAGCGGTATTGAAATCAACTTGAACCGATGCCAATGTTGACGCAAGCGGACCTTGTGCATCTTTGAATGCCTACAATAGATTTTTGGAAGAAAATGCAAATTGTTAAGCACATAATTCGAAAATTATGTCAATTTTAAAACCCATTTTGTGGCTTATGATAACACGTACTTGTTTATTGAATTGATTGTTCCGTTTAGCTCGACAGTCTTCGGGTAATAGCAATGTTACGCGCAAAAGATCACCATTTCCCTCACCCACGGCAATCACTCTCGGATAGCTCGATGCCAGCATTGGAGCGAATGCAACCACTTCGGTATCCAAACTCTCAACCAACAGATAGTAATTATCGGCGCTCACGTCGCTGCAACAGTCGATAAAATCGCAATACTCGAATTATAACCTCATTTTAATTGTAAAGCTCTTATTTTATAGACGCACCCATTCGGAGTGCGCAGCAATGATAAATTTAATCGATTGAACGATTTACAACTTCAGAATGAAAATTTTTATTCAGCGACAAATTAAATGACTTACCGTAACGGTGTTTTTGTGCCGTCGGAGAATTCAATATCAATGTCGAGCAAACCCTCTTGATATTGTGCGGTTAAGTGTCTGGTGACCAATGTTTCGGCAATATACCCGTTTTCTAAGATGCCATCTGAGTTGATATTCAACTGCAAGCCGGTCACAACCTGAACGGACAGCCGAGAAATAGTGACTTTGTCGCTGCCAACGCGAATTTCTTTGGAACCAATCACGCGACCATTGATTGGCGACAACACCTGCACATCGGTACGACCCATTGTACGACCCTGAAGTATGCGACCGCTGAGTGTGGCGATTTTTGGATCAGCCACACGAATGAACGGTTCAACGAGTTCGGTTATGCGCAATGCCATCTTTCGTGTTAAGTACGAACTAACGCGTCCAGAATGCTGTAAGGGGATGCGATTTTGATATTATTTTTCGGAACATCAAAAATGCCATATTTTCACTCGGTTTGTCGTGGTCATAACTTTTTTTCCTTACCTGATCAACAGCAATGAAACGTGCATAAACTTCGACGGGAGTTTGTTGGTAACGCGTTCGGCATGTATGTTTATCGGATCCATTTCCCAATTCTTCCGAACTCTTGTACCATGTGTTGGCTCGCTTGCGTCGTTTCTCTTTGTGATGTTCGCTACACAGAGAAAGAGAGAAGGAAAAATGGTGTGCTTATTTTTTATCCATTCATCCATTTTTGAATGAAAAATGCCTATTGCACGGCAAGTAACTGCGTCAATAATGACATACTTTTTAGCATCGACGGGAATTTTCCATCCTTTGATCTGTGACAAACGAAAATCGGTCACAGCCACTTCCAATGGATACTCTGGCATCCATACGGTGAAACGAGCCAATCCAGAATTCGAACCGTATTTGATAACAATTGAAGCGTTTGACGATCCTTCTGTTTCAGTTCCATCAACGTAAACAGAGCTGCAGGATGTTGACACCTATTGTATTGTTGTGCGAGAGAGAGAGAGAGAGAAGTGAGAAATAATAATGGGACATTGTTTCAAATGGTCCGTGCTCAAATGCTCCGATTCAGTTATGGAAATACACACTTCAAGGCAAATAATTATGGCATACACAGGCACACGTACCTTTATGACACTTTCGTCTTCTGAATGGCACGAACTTTGAAGGGTTATATCAGCAACCTTACCACTTTGAGAAACAATGAAAACTTTCATTGCCTTGTACACTTGACGACCCGTAAGCACGGCCGTATTCATCAATTCGCGATCCTAAATGGAGAAGAATAGAAGGCAAAAAAAACTTGGTGAAATAAATAAACGAACGAACGAACAATGAATATGAATCGTGGAAAATTCAAATTGACAACTCATTATTTTGCCAGGCATTCCATGGCACAATTCAATCGCTTGAGAGAATTGCTCATTATTCATACCTTGGCTATAGGTAGAATTGATTGAATATCGTCCTTCATAATCTGAAAACGTGCAATAATCTTCTGGCGTTTTCCATCAAATGGCATTGTTGTAAGTACTTCAGATGAGTAGTTCTGCATTCGACCGGCATCCTGCACGAAATTCACCGACCAAATGATCTTTGCACTGTCTCGATTCTCTTTTGTTACATTCTCGACTTCGATTAACCATGAAAATATATCGAGCACCCTGCAATTTTGTGAACAAAACGATTTTCGAAAAAGTTATTGGAATCTACAATATCCATAGAATGTGTTGCATGCGCACATATGTTGTACAGGTAGTGTACGCACGGATATGTCTTAGATGAATGAAAGGAAATGATTCAACTTACTCGTTCTCATCGAGGCTGGGTGGCGATGAAGTGCTCTCACTCTCTTGCTCATTTCGGAAAATCGTTACGCGAGCGACCGTTTGTTTAGTGTTTTCTGACTCAAACGAAACATTCCATTGATCAGTTGTGGCAGTTGCTCCCAAAATCTTAACACCTGATTTTGCTCGTGCTCTGCAGAAACCACAACCGGAAAAGGTCAATTATTATGAAACCCACATTAAACAATTGAAATTTCAAAGGTTCCACAACCCTTGTTAGGTCAGAAACCGCTTGGAATTGGTTTTGAAAATCTTACCTCACTACGAATATGGCTATGTTTTGTGCAGATTTTGATTGTAGAAATACTGGAATATGAACTTTGGATAATGGGTAAAGTGGTTGATGTGGAATTAAAAATGTTAGCAGATTATCAACTTTATGTTCTTTATAAGCGGTTAATGCTGGTGTCAATGGCACCTAAATGAAGATGAAGAAGAAGAAAAAAACGCCACACAAAAAGAAATTAGGTTAAATATATATTAGGTTATCACACCGTAAACAACTGATATTTATTACTCGGTATTTTTTCATCATCATCATTTGAACAAACGAAATTTGCTGTTTTCGGTTTGTTTGATCGCCGTTTATTTACCTGAGCAAATACAGTAGCTGGTTGTATTTGTACTTTCGGCTCGCATTGTTCTGGATTTTTGGCTGGCGGTTCGAATACACTGTATGACACTTGTACCATTGGCTGTGGCATTTTAACGGTGTTCGTGTGACCGTCTTTGTCGGGCGGTGATAATTTGGGCCACCAATCGGGCGGTATGACCACCTCGGCAACGCACACATTTTCATCACCATCGGGCATACAATGATTTCGCAACGGTTTATGCGAATCTAATGTAACATGTAGTAGGATGCAGATTTTTCTTCGTTGTAAATAAACGCCGGCATCAGTGGCACCGTGAAATAGAACACGTAGTACAGGCGAATCTCGCGGTATATAATTCCGCACTAAGCTAGCTGATATGTCTAAGTAATTTGTCGTTTGTTTTATATCATAGCTAACTTTGCCATCGGACTGAAGTGGTTGAAGAAGCAGAGAAAGAAAAAATTAGAGAAAGAAAACAGAGTTTTACGAAATGCTCATTACGAATGCTAATCACACAGTCAAAAAAAAGAATAAATAAACAGAAGAACGGTAAGTGTGCTTAAAGTGAGTAAATGTTTCGTCTTTGTTCGTGAAGTTATTTACACAATGTTTCTCATCAGTGCATTGTGTGTGTTCGAAGCGCCATGATTTCGAAACGTCTACTTCGTACATAATTGTGTTTGTTTGTTTATTTGTTTGCTCGAAATATGAACTTTCGTTTCAAACAAATATTCCACCTACCTTAGTCTGATAGCCAAAGTTGTCTGAATCTTCGGGTACAATGTACCGCGCTGGTACGGTTTGTTTCGTTGAAAATGGTCCATAGCTGGCGCGTATCGATACTGGATGATTGGCTTGTGCGACGGTAAAACGATTAAACGATAAAACTGAATCTTTATTCTCCTTGCTGGATGCTTGTGTATTTTTAAGATCGGTGATCGGATTGTTTAATAGTTGCTGTTGCGGTTGTATTGATGAATGTTTAAAGAAAAATCCGCTATCGGCCTTGTCAAAACTAACTTGAACTGAACTTGCAAAATCTAGACGATCGAATAACAAACGGAAACCGGAGAAGGAAAGAGAAAAGAAAGAGAATGTCAAAATGTTAACAGATTTACGGGCAAATCACCCATTATTTAGAACAGAGAGAAACCAACAACGGATATTGGAATAAAAGATTGAAACCAGAAAACAAAAAACATTCATTTCGAATTGACTTCAAACGATTTTCATCATTTCAATTAAATTTTTTTTTAATGAACAACAGATTTGATGATGTGTTAACGCAGATGGTCTGCGATGAAACGAGCACATTCCAATGCAAACCGCCAGAGAAAGAGAGTGCAGGAGAGTGAGAAATGTGTGCGGCAAGTGGCTATATGCAGCGCCAGCGACTGACTAGAGCTTGTTGGATCATTTTTATAAATAAAATTTAGATCAAAGACTGTGTGCGGCAGTGCCTTCGTCTAACCGACATCCAATTTAATTGCTTCACAAAGCCATAGTTCTCACATAATATTTCTCTCTCCCGATTTTATTCTCTCAATCTTTTAATTTCCTTTACTAACTAGCTTCGGGATTTCTTCTTGTTTTTTTTTTTTAATTGGAAGAGCATGCGAATGGCTTAGGCAAAGTCAAGTGTTTGTTTGATGTTTTCTTTCACACCGAAACATAACACATACATATTATGCTGCCGCGCCGCATCTAAGTACCAAAAACATAACAATCTGATAAGTGTCAGAGAGTTTCGCTTTGGACGGGAAGAAATATTTAAGTTGTCGGAATCGTTGGCAAACCGAACAGCATTCGACTCGATTCTTCAAACCAATTCAAAAGTGCGAGAGAGAGAGAGAGAGAGAGCAGGCATAAAAACGGCGACGGCACTCATTATACAATGTTGAATTTTTTATGTGAACCGTTTTTCTTTACTTTTCCATAATAATAATAATTATCGAACGAGTCGTTGAAAGCTATTGAATTTTGTATATTTTTGGCTCTGTATTTCGGCAAGCGAAAACATTTTAATGTATCGAATGCGTCTCAATCAATCGAAATTGGCCTTCGAGTGGTAAATATTTCAAAACCGTTTTGTTTGCGTGTTTTCCGAACGAGAAGCGTAATTTGTCGACATTGTTCGGACCCACACCCCTTTATTTCGCCGTCCGCAGCAACCACCACCACCCATATTTCCAATTATGAATTTCGAATGAACAAAAGTGTCGATATTGTGTGTCTGCAAGCAGAATATGAAGTAGAAAAATGGAATCCAACAAATGCCAGTAATTAAACGGATACATAAAATAATCACAGCATGAATGGAAGAATAGAGAAGTTTGTTGTTGTGAGTGTTTCATACGTAATATTGCAAACCAAACTATAGAAGCATAAGATGCACACAAAAGCAGGAGGAGGAGGAGGAGAACGCGGAGTAAGTGGAATGAGGAAACATGTGCGCACAATGCAGGCATTTGAAGCATTGCTTCGGGCCACTATTTTCAGTGTGACTCTAAAGAGGGTGGATGGGTGAATAGACAGATGTACAGACGCGAATTAAATCTTTTAATGCACATCAAATGCAAAGTCATCGTTCGCGTCATAAAAAAAAGTCAAAAGGACGTTTCTCTCGTCATTGATGATTGTTGTTAATGGCAGTTAGCAGTTAGACGGTATTATGTAAGCACATTCACAACAGGCTCAATGATTTGCACCACTTCGCAACACACATAGTATGTATGTGTGTATATATGTTACACACTATTGAATGTGTACGCGGAGTACGAGTGAGGCATGGCAGCGGTGGCACGACGAAAGGCACGCGATTCCAACAACAACAACAACCACAGCGAACGAAAATTCTTAAGTGGAACAATATAACACATTGCAAAGGGATAGGTTGATTTCCCTTATTTGGTCGGCCGCTTCAAATGATTTTTCACCATATAGTATGTAGCGGAGAGAATATGGCACAAGTATCAATATCCAAATGAACCTACATTCACATTGTTTTTTTTTCTTCTTCTTCCTCTTCTTCTTTCTTTTCCCATTTTTCCAATTTACATTTACTTTTCCCTCTTTCGCTGTAAACACATTTTTTCTGTTTGTACATATTTCGGGTGGTAATTTACGTAAATATATTTTGTTTTCTCATTTTTCTTGTGCCATTTCATCAATAGTGTATAGGAAGTCTCAGCATGAAGCGCTCAAAATGTTCGTCTCCTCGGTATGTGCACAATTTGATTTTGCCATCAGCGAGCGATTTTATGTGACACGTTTATGCTTATTTTCCGTGTATTCTCTGTTTTCGTTTCGTTTGACTGCTTTGACGTTGTTAAAATGATAGATAGAAGAGAATGAGTGGTTGTGTTCGTATGTATACTACACCATACAAACTCCCTTGAATGAAGAATCAATTGACCACTTTCGAGCGAATCGACAGTTTTGCGCATATATTGTATATGTTGAAAACGTCGCTACGTGCACGAGAAACGTGAGCCTCTAGATAGTATTATTCTCTCGCTCGCTCACTATATTTTTTTTCTTCTTTTTTCCATACTTTTTTATATATAGGGGCTGAAAATGATACAGTAGTGAACAGCAGCACAGAAAACCACTTTGATTTTTATTGATTTATTAGTATGCATGGAAAATTTCCGTGTTTCGATATGGATATATAGATACATAGTTTTGCGACGACACACAATATGCACTATTTGTAGTTTTGAATCAGAAAGAAAAAAAAAGCGAAAAGAAATCCATTTAGCTGCTGTGAAATGTTGAAAAGGGATGTATTATTGATGGGAAATGTCAATGGAAATGAGGGATTTGTCAAAATGAGAAAAAAAAGAAAGAAAAGCGTTGCGTCGCAATGTCGCTCACATTCGTTACATTCTTCGGAATATTGGATAGGACGACGAGGAGAGCGAGCACCAACAACAATAACAGAGAGAAGCAGAAATATATGAAGTAAACAAATATTTAATTTATCCAACTTTCCATCTATCATGCATTGTTTTTTTTTCTTCGCTGTGTGTTTTTGCCCCGTAACTGTGTTTGGGTAGTCGGAGACATTTTTGCGTGTTAAATTTAAGCGAAAAGACCATTTTAGTAGCATTGTTTTCTTTCTTCTGTGGATGTATCCAAATAGTTTGGCTAGGCGGTTGGTCGGTCGAATGTGTGTGTGTGACCTGAAACATTTTACGGCTATAAAAATGTATATGTCTACTGAATTTTCGGGCCCTGGATCTGGCTCTTCAAATTCTTTCTTTTTTTTCGCTATATTTTCAATCAATTTTATCAACATGTCGAGGCTTCAACTCTCTTAAGACTCTTGAGAAATGAATGATGAATGATGAATGATGAATTCTTATGTTTCATTCTTTGACTGATGGTATCTCCAACGTTGTCTTTCCCTAACAACAATACTTCAGCATGAATTGAAATGATGAAAATTGTTTCCCTCGACGAAATAATTAAGTCGAACGAATCAAATATTCAGATGTAACAATTTGATTTTGTCAATGATGATTTTCATGTGATTTACATGTATGGGGAAAAGGGTTCACTTACCAAAACATAAATAAGAAAATACTATCCAAAAATACATGTTTATAATCATTCCGCTTAATACGAGATAAACTCCATTCCATTTTTCTCAAGCATGAAAATATTGATGTTCCGAAAAAAGGCGTTCATGATCTTCACATACAGCATATTAATCGCACACACATGCACAATAAACAACATCCATGTAGGTAAGTTTGTATTATATATCTTATACGTTGAATCTTTTTCTTCTTCTCTTCGGTACTGTTGTTGCTGGTGTGTTGTTTTTTTCTTCTTTCCTTTCCTTCTCTTTGCTTCTCCTTATTTTTTTTCTCTGTTAATTCTTGTACGTTGTTTTTTCTTCTTCTATGAGATAAAATCAATGCACCTCGTATACGTACAATAACACACGGACTCTTCTGTTATACACCATGCACTTTACACACTTCTGACACTGGCGAAAAAATGAAGCCTGATATTCGTCGTCGTCGTCGTCGTCGTCGTCGTCGTCGTGGTCTTGTTTCAAACTAATTTACACTCTATCTCCTTGCGAAACAATTTCCACTCAATTTTCAAACATACACACACCATTTAAGTACGCTTTAAATTAGCAATTAATGAATTTGTCACTTGAAAATTGTGAAGAACACACATGTACACACACATTCAGTGTTGAACTTCAAATGCAATTTGTTTCGTGTGATGTTTTGCCTCATTCGTTTGCTGTTTTCAATTCAATTCCCTGTAATAAAAATAAAACCCGAAAATACGTTCGATTAGAGAATGGGAAATGCAAAAAATCTAAAATATTCAAATCGAAAACCATTTCGAAATGTGAATCTCGGAAAATAAAAAATATATTTCGAAAAAATCGAAGTGGAAACAACTCAGAAGAAATAAATATAAATAAAATCTTGTACACTGCTGCTAGCCGCTGCACGAATGGTAGTAGCCGTCGTCGTTGTTGTCGACGTCGATACTGTTTTGCCTTTACAAGCGCAAAGCCAAACGAACAATACAGAAGAAGTAAAAACGAAAAAAAAGAAGTATAAACTAACGAAGAGAAGAGCTGAGGCTGCTGCGACTATTGATGGTGAAGTGAAAATATGTGAGATGCACTGTTGCCACTTAAAAGGCCCATTTATGTATCGATTGCGCGTTCGTATGTCAATTTGACGTTTTCTCTGTGTGTGAATTTGTCGAAACACGCATAGATCTCCTCGGGAACGACGACGACGACGATGGCTACGACGAGAACGAAAATGAAGCGCTATACATGAATAGTGCAGTATCCGAAATTCGACGCTCTCTGTCTTCGTTTATTTTCCGCTCTGTTCTATGATTCGGATTGTTATTCTTTCTCACTCGATATTTAATTCATTTTTTTTCGTTCGATGTTTTCTTTTTCAGATGAGGGAATATTGAAAATCTAACCAAAATAAAACAATAAATAAATAAATATCTATGGCAAAATATTTACCGTGTTGTTATTCGAGTGCTCCAGTTATGTAATTACTGCCAAGGCAACTAGAGAAATATCCTTCCCCGCATACACACCACTTTCGTACCAATGCATAAAAATGTGTTATAAAGGCGAAAACGAAAAATTATTTCACTCGTGAATCGTCCGAGAATGTTAGGGGAAAAAAAATTCACGCCCCAATAGGGCTACGCAATCTCAGTTGAAGAAAATATTGATTTTTTATTTTGGCTCTTGGAGAGTACGTACACACGATACTGAGAACAGCAAAAACGACGTCGAATGGCGTGCTCCAATATTTTATCCACGGCTATGCAAGAGATAGTCCCATTTACGGTGTGCGGTTTGAAATAGCATACATTTTATACTTTCTTTCTTTCTTTCGGCTCGTTTCACATGCTCTCTCTCTCTCTCTCTCTCTCTCTCTCTCTCACGAAATATGTGCGGTGAGAGCGAGGGAAAAACAACAACACACAGAATCGCTCTTTCTCTCCGTCCTCCGCGAAGAAGTAAAACGTTTTTCGGTGTAAAAATGTCCTTCCTTTTATTCCGATTGTGCTTTGTGTGCCTATCAAATATCGGATGGATTTTAAGTAGAATGAAGAATGCGCACGCTTCCCAAAAAACCCTTTCACCGATTCTATCCGAATGGAAAATTTTCACAGCAATTTTTCGGCCAACGCAATTAAATTGCAGAAATTCTTGCGTTCGCGTCTATTCAAGTAAATGCAATGAAAATTGTTGATTGAATGAATAGAGAGAAAAAAATGTCCGAAACAAAGAATTGCACAAATGAATGAAAATGTTGCTGGTCATAAATGATATATAAATGGCATTGTTTACATCTTTTCATACGAATTCACAAAACGATAACTTTGCCGATACATGTCAAATTCACTCACTCTCACTCTCTCTCTCTCTCTCTCTCTCTCTCTCTCTCCCTTTCTCACTCTCTGCATACACACAAGTAAGAACGGTCGCCCGATAGGGACAACAAAAAACCAACACACACGTGCACAACTGCACGACAAAAGTTGTAAATAAAAGCATGTTGCATGTGTATTGTGTTTGTTTTGACATTGCTGATTTGTATTTTCGTCGAGTTGTCAGTTTTAATGCCGAAGTAATGTTTTTGTAGCCGTCTTCATGTAGATTAAAATTTAATTTTTTGTTTTAAGAATGTTTTTCGTCGATTAAATGAACGAAACATGTTTAAAATTGAATCATACATCTCGCCGATTATTATAAATTATATAGACAAATATGTCAAAGATTTTCGACCACAAAATGCCCAGGTAAATAGATAACATTCGGCATTTGAATCAGTGCAAATTTTAGAATCGAATCGGGGAGGCGGCCGAAATGTTTTATGGATTTTCAACAGTGGAATTTGCAACGGTTGCTGTAATATTTTGTGCTTATAATTTCCAAGGTTTCACTGTGGGGTGGCGAGGTGGCCTTTCAAAATCTCGACATTCGATTAGACGTGTTACAAGAAGAACTTCATCTGCCCTTGAACATCGTCTCGGGCCACATCCACGAGCTAACTGTGCGGGTTCCATGGACAAAAATCGCTTCGGAACCCATTCAAATCAATGTCAATACCATCGGTATGTATCTTGCTGTATCAAATGACAGGGAATTTTTTTTGACAATTTTGAAGTCATTTTGAAATTTCAACACATTTCTAATCATTGCAGAGTTTGTTGTGAAGCTAAAATCGGGCGATGGCGAGAAAAAGGAAAAAGAAGAACCAAAACCACCACCATCGATCATTGCTCAAGAGCCACCCGGTTACATGGCCACTTTGATTAATAAAATAGCCAACAATATTTCCATCAAATTGAATAACATAATCTTTAAGTACATCGAAGATGACATCGTTCTGTCCATGAATATTCAGATGCTGTCAATCGATTCGGCCGATGAAAACTGGAATCCAGCATTCATCGATATCAATCCGGTGAAAGTTGTGCTCAAGAAAGTGATAAACATAAATGACCTAACGATATGTTTGGATAAACGAAATGCCCAAGGCAAAATTGATGTATGTTCCGAACCAATATTGTACCGTTGCTCATTGCAGGCACGCATGATTCGAAAATATAATCTTACAACGGCTCATCTTGATTCAATCATGCGCATCGATATTTTCACAGAGAATATCGACTTTAAAATCTCCGTGCAACAATTTCCAATGTTAATTCGAATGTATCTATTGGTTCAAATGTTACGTGAATTCCATGCGAATTTGCACGGTGCCAAACGAATCGGACAAGATGTAACAGCTGGCAGTGGACAAACGGATGATTATATCGATGCATCGTATACAACATGGATTTGGAATATGTTACCGGAGATATTTCCCGCATCCATCGATGAGGAACGCTTGGACACACAGGGACACATCTTTCACAATGGATTTTATGCCAAAAACGTCAACATTTCACTAAAGTCACAGGAAATAGTCGCAAACAGTATTATCCAAACGAATACCGTTTACAAGTACCATCCAATTCTCAAGATAACTTTGTCGGGTGTTTCATTCGACACGATCAGCATAGGGAAGAAGTGGACGAATGTCAAAGGTGGCATTTCATACATTGGCGTTTTTCCACTGGGCAATTGTACATGTGGCAAAAAGCACAATTTACCAACGATATTTTTGTCGGGGCATAAAAACAAAGCGGATTGTGAAACATTTCTGTCCGATTCGTTGAAAGATCCCAATAAAAATATGACCCCAACGCTGCTGTACGAGTGTGATTTTCAATCTCATTTGCTGCGTTACACCGAAGCCACACTACTCGCAACAACTCCGGCTCTATCAATCGATATCGTAAACTATCGACATACGATGGATGACACACGGTCATATGGAACACATTCGATAAGCAGTAGCGATCATGATGCAGTGACTGAAGAGTATTTTATGCGAGTTTTCTTCGGAAAATTCAATCTAAAAATCGATACAAGTTTGCTGCATTTGTACAATACACTGAATGATCAGTGCCAACAATACACGTATATTGCACCGTATTCAGTGACAAATCGATCGGAAATTTTATCACAGCTAACACCACCATCGACTGAGGATTATGAGTCACTGCTTGATTGCATTCCACTTCGAAAGACCTTTGTGTACCTGAACAAATCGTCGATTGAATATTACCATTTGAATGCGGATCATTTTCAAAGCAACGATGCCAATGATTTCAAGCAAATGCCTTTTATTTTGAATAATTTAAGTCGTGCTGAACTCGGTATCACCATGCCACTTTATCCGGAAAAATTGATAAACACCACGTGTCAACTGCCAGATCCAACGGAAAAACTGAAAGAGAATTGTTTCAATCGATACTGTGCGATCATTGAGAAGACTTCACTCGATATCATTTGCAATAAAAATCGATTTAGCGCATTTTCGATGTCAAATTTCAAGATAAATTATGATACACTCATTCAACCCGAACTTTGGAAAATGGTTCGAATGCAAAACTATACGTACCATATCATGGTGTCACGGTTTGAGCTTATGTTTAACAAGCCACAGTATTTACTCCTTTCACAACTGCTTGGAACGAGTGCAAAAGATGGCATTTGTGCGGACATTCCCGTGAAGTGTATTAAAACATTTCATGCGATCGATATGTGCCAAAGTGATTTACCAAAAATTGAATTGTGCGTGGTGAATTCCGAAGCATCTGTGATTTTAATCGATAATGTATTGGGTGTTAGGGCTAGTGTTGGCGCTATCGTTGGCTTCACTCATTCACCGGATCATCTGGAGAAATTTAATCCCAAAGAGACATACAAAGGTAAAAGTATTTTTTTCTCCAACGAACATTTTGAAGGCAATCTATTCGATTCCACCATCCAATATCCGATAAACGCGCTGAAAATTAAACATCCTCCAATTGTGAATATTGAACTACAAAAGGTCATAGTCAGTTTTGATTTAATGCTTCATCAATTCTTGAGCTATAATCTGCCATTTGAAAATTTCACAGGTAATCTAGAGACTTGGATTTTATATATAGAATTAATCGCTAAACATGTTTTGTCAATTTTCTTATTGATTGAAAATTCTGTTTTTGATCGGTCACGACTATTTTCCACCAACAGAAATTTCGAATGTGTCTGACGAAAAAACGCAAAAGAAAGTTCGCAAATCGAGCAAATTGAGCAAACCATTGTTACGTACCGAATCGGTGCATTCAAATTCAATAACAACGATGTCGATTGTCACATCTGCCACTCGAACTAAGGAACATGCTGATCAACAAAAATTTATTGAATGGTAAATACTTTGATGTTTTCAAGTTGAACGTACCTATACATCGAGAATCATGAAATTTTCATGAAGAAAAAGCTAAATACTTAAATTTATCTCTCCTAACCGAAGGTATGAGTTCATCAAGCAAACCATAGTCTATATCAATGCACAATCAGTGTTGGTTGTGTGTCCAAATAAGTGTCTGTTTATGGAAGAGGAAACGAGTACCCTAAAGTATTTGATTGAAAATGAAAAGAATGCAATGATGACGTTCTTCAGGTGAGTCAGACAGATTATACAGAATAAATTAATTTCCTGCATTAAATTTACCACATTAATTCTGTATTTTTTTCTCAAAGATTACCAAATCTGGCGATTCACACAACAAAGTTCAAGAATATTCAAAATGTTTTAAAAAGCAATTTTCCCATTGATTTGACGGAAAATTGGATGCTCGGTGTAAATAGTTTCCCATGGAACATCGAGCTGAACGATTTCATCTGTTTCACAGTAACGGCCAATGGTCAACAAACATTCTTGCCCAGTGTAAACACGAAATTAACGTTAGACCTAACGAAAAAAGACAAAGAGATCGGAGCATCTGGCGAAGAGATGTCGTTTGTGATTCACTTAGATACGACGCCAATTCGATTAGTGCTTGACTCTGCTCAGGTTGGTTCGATTTATTTTTAATTTTAAATATTCCAAAAACTCATTTCAATTCACTCGTTCATTCACTATGGCAGATCAAACAAATTTACAATTCGCTCAATACCATAATGCTGCAAAAGCCGAAGAAAAAGCAACTCAGCCCACTGATTGAAGTTCCGGCCACATTTTATGACACACAAATCAATGATTTCTTCTGTGAAACAACAAACAGCGAGAAATCAAGTGAAGATGTCATTTCGAATGTAGATAAAAACACGTCAAAAATTCATTGTTTGATGCAGTGGACAATCACAAAATTTACACTGTCACTAAATGATTCCAGTCTCTGTAATGAAGTTGAGCTGTTAATCGATCTAGAAGATATCATTGTGAGTATTGACAAACAGAGCTCATACACGAAAGCCAAAGCAAAATTCGGTTCGATCAACGGAATGCGTAAAAAGAAAAACAAAACCACCGGTGAATTGGATGTGTTGAATATGATTAGTCGATCGGATGCGTTGACAGTTGAATCGCAAGAGACATTTTTGGAGATTGTCGCAACGACGGCAATTGCATCGAATGTGCACAGTCGATGGGGAACGGCAACGAAAAAAGTGATGGGATTCAGGAATGATATTGAAACTATTACCGAAATTATGATCACCATGCAATCAATCGACCTGAAATTAGAGGCCGATGTTCTCTCTGTGATACTTAATATTAATGAAGAGATACGTAGCGTCAATTCAACTGGCATTCAAAGGGACGAATTCGAAGGTGAAAATAGTTCAGGGTATTGTGTTCGAGATCTTCCTCTGCTATTTTTCGATTGTAAAGGACTTCAGCTGTGGCTGCCCAACACCAACGTAGGAAGCGCAACGGAATCGAATGTTTTAATTGTTAAGGTTGGTTTCTTCTGATTTGTGTATACCAAGAAAATATTACTATATTTTGGTCAATTTATAACAATGAACATGATTTTTAAGATGACAAACCATTGTAAAGTCTCTCGGGTGGACCGTTATAATGAATGAAAAATAAACTCAAATCATTTTCAGATGAACGCTATAAAAATAGCACCATCCGTGGAGAATCCTGTGATACGGAAACCGGTTCGTGAAGATATCTATGTGAAAGCAGCTCAATTGCGAATGATAAACACACCGGGCTCGATTATTGAAGATCGACAATATGAACTATTGTTGAAAAATGTTTCCATTTTCACCGGCAACTGGGATGAAATCCTGCAATTTACCTGTCCAGTTAATGTAATTCTTTTCGATCGAAACGTTTATTTTAGAATTAATTAAAAAAAAATGAACCAATTTTTGTTTCAGAATGAGAATCCGGCATTCGATTGGAACAATCAGACTGAAAAGCCTTCCTTAAACATAAATACTATTTTTAACGATTGTATACTGTCTATTATTTATGCACCGGCAATCGTATTTCAAAATATTGTCGTCTGCGGCCAAGCGCTCGAATTCAATTGCATCAGCGATTTATGCTTGAATTTGACATTGAATGATATTGACTTGCTCAATGATTTACGGCTGAAGTTTTCAAATGTATTCAGGTAACTTGAAAATCATTTAGTTATTTTTTACTCCGTTCTATTCAACTTATAACCCAATCAGTGAAATTTAAATCTGTATTTTCTTCTTTTGATAAATCCACAGAGAAAGAATGGTTGATGGGCGGGAAATAAAAGCAAAGCGGCAGTCGTTGCAAAGAACCGACAAAACTGCCCATTTCAGAGCGATCAATGACCAATTTGACAATCACTTGAGCGATTCTGGCTTCAAATCCAATTACAATCAAGACAAACGGAAATCGAATGATAAGTTGAGCACACATAAAATCGAAGTTCCACACATGTTATCCTTCGTTGGCGGTGCCTTTACTGTGCAGTTGTATGAAAATGCGGTAAATTAGAGAAAAAAAATCCACTTATTCGGTTGAATTTCCAAGCTTATTTCACCAAACGATTTTGAATGCTTCGTTTTGTTTCCCTTTAGGAACCATCATCTGTTCAAAATGTTCCTTTGGTAGCATTGCAAACGATGCAACCGAACTTCTACTGTGTTCAGGATTCGGCTGAGACAATTGAACGCTTATCAATATTCAATTTAACACTGAAGTTGCACAATCAGAAATTGTTTGAACAGACGGCTGTCGAATTTGGTGACGTTATATTTGACACACATAAAGGCGAATTAGACGAAACAGGCATCGCACCAGCTCTATTCGAATTCCAAAGAGTCACAAATCGAAGTGAAAATAAAAATGATATCAAAATGCTTTGCAATGTGCGAAAGCCAATCCAAATCAAACTGACGCCGACAAGTGTTGAGAATTTGTTTAGCTTTAAAGAGACGATGGAACGTGTTTTTCACAAAGACAACAAAACCAATGCCCGGGACAATGAACAACCAATTCGCCATCTGAACAATATCAAGGAGCTTCGAAAATTGATTGGCGGTCCAAATAGCATTGAATTTAATATGACCAAAATTTCGATCAATTTCATGACATCGATGGATCGTGTCGTGAGCCTATCACTGTTCAAATGGAACAACAAAATTGGCGTGCGTGAACGATTGAAGCAAATTACATACTCAACGAATATTGATTCAGTATCGATCAACACACAAAATTCAATGCTACTTAATCCATCTGTAATGGCATTTGAATGTGTTTTATCGCAGGAGAAATGGAGCAAACGACTGGTGATTTCAACGAATTTCACCTCAAATATTATTCATTTGCAAATTAATCCAAATGATTTTTGGACATTTGCCAAAGTTCAACTCGACTTTTGGTCGTGCATCAATCGACGATTTAATACATCGACTACAGAGTTAAATGGAAACCCGCTGAATCCAAATGAAAATAGTGTAGAATTCAATGGCGAGAATTTAAATCCATATGATTTACCGCGAATAACAACATCCAATAGTCGTACCAATGAGGAATATTTCCAAGATGATCTACGGTAAATTAGCCGATTATTTATATAATGAAGCGTAATTTTTAATAAGAATTTAATAAGACCTTTTTATATTTAGACTGGGAACATTTGAATATATCATTGCCACTGGAGAAAATACTCTGCCTTCACCATATCAAATTTATTTATTGAACAGCGGAGCAAATATGCAAATTTGTTGGCGATATCCACACCCGAGAACGATCAATTTCATTCAGATTTATCCCATTCCGGGACAGGTAGATTTTATGCAATTTTATATTGTTAAATTTTCAGAAAAAAAAATATTCCTAGAAATGTGTTCATTTAAAACGTTTTTCTTCGTAAAGAAATTGAAACATATTTTTTTTTGAGATTTTTCATTGAATTTTCGAAAGAAACAGAATTTGTTCAATTTAATAGAATGCCACGTTTGCGCCCATTTTCAGTTTGACATCAATATGAAGTGCCAACTGGAGTATTTCCAAGAGTCCCACAACACATTTTTCCCATACGTTTCGTTTGTGATTGGCAATAAAAAATCATATGAAGTTAAATTGCCGAAGCAAAAATTGACTGCATCTGTATGGCGAATAGTTTTAACTGAACCGGTATCATCAATGACTTACATGGAGCCGGATGAAGCAAATCCTTTGCAAGATTTCCTTTCACCGCGAACAATCATCGGTTTCATTCGAATTGATTCGATCTTCAATGTGGAGAATGTTCCAAAGTTGCAGGCTAATTTCAAAGTCAATAAAGTGGCAGTTTCGGTATTGAATAGCTGTGTCAATGTGCAGTCATGCTCGCCCAATATTTTGTCGCGTTACACATTGAAAGTTGAAGAGCACACTGACGTCACACAAGAGTTTTGCCAAGTGAATTTCGGGAATATTAATGTCAACATCAATTTGTATGGCGATATGCAGGCGAAATTGTACAACGAATTTACATTTGGTGTGAATATATTCGATTCGAGCTACTTGAATATGATCCCACTTATCGATACCGTTTCAATTGGAAGTTACATTGAATTCTCTGCTGAAAATCATCCCAGCATACTGCATTTGACAGCTGATAAGCTGAGCGTAAAATATGGCCCGGCCACCGGTTGTGCTATCGCAACAGCAAAAAGTGTTTGGCAAAATACACCGATCGAGACGCAGATGCCGATTATGTGTCGCCTCGTCGTTTGCAATTCAATGTCTGCCTCACTGAAATTCGGCCAAGATTCAACCGAAGAAACAATTTGGCTACAGACAAACGAATGCTTCTACTATGCATTCCGCACGGAAAAATCACCGCAAAAAGTGCGATTCTCAGTTAAATCGGAGAATAACATCGTCGAAGTATCCGAAGCATTCTCATTGAACGACACCGATGAAATGAAAATGTTAAATGTTGCACCAAACAAAATGCTATTGGTGACCACCCGCAAGTTGTCGACAACGCAGAAACAAGTGGTTATAAAAGGACAAATTGAATTGATGAACATGACGAAAGAATCATTTCAAATCCATTACAAAGATAAAACGAAACTGCAATACATGGATTCAGAGAGTTCAAACACAAATCCTAGCGTCATTTTGTTGCCATCGATGTGCAGCGGTTCGTTTTTCGATGGATGCGATGATTCTTGTGACTCGTACATTCGACTGCAACTGGTACATGAGAACGCAAATGGATGGTCAGGCGAAATACCACTTGGAAAACCGACCTCAAACATTCCATGGCTGGTCAAAGTGCCGCTGAAGACAGAGCAAAAGTATGCAACGTTCTCGGTGAGAATTCACACGGAATACATCGGCGAACGAATATCGGGAAAATTACAAGCGAAACGCATCCTGATTGTGTTATGGCCCTTCTTCACCGTGCGATCGTTGATGCCAATGCATTTCAATATTCAAGACAAGGAACACAAAAAATCGTACACGATTGATGGACGTGGAGCGTGCACGGATTTACAAATTGCCGGAACATTCGATACAGAACATGAATTTACCTTCGATCTTGGGTAATGTTCAAACAAAATGATGCTGTGAATGAATTTATTCACTAACCCCATTATTTCTGTCGTTTCAGTCATGAAAATAAAGAGTTCAACAACCTAATTTTGACCTACAAAAACATTGACAAGAGAACCTTCTTCTCAGTACCGATTCATTTCAAAACCATCAATGAAATAATCAAAGAATTGGACAAACCCAGTGAACTGAAATGGCCTTGCCGTGCCGAAAGAGAGGTAGCAAGCATTTTTTGAATTTTTGTAAAATATTTTCTTTAATAATTCTCTTCTTCGATTTTTTTTTCAGTTAAATATTGATCGCAAAGCAGCATTAGAAATATCCGCAACTCCAATTTGTAAATTTTCGGCTAGCCGCAGTCTATCTTGTGCGATGGAACTCAACTTTACGCCACCGTGTCTGTTGATAAATGGTTTGGGCTTTGAAATTTTCATCATTGAGCCCATGAGTGAAAAAGAGTGTTGTGTGCAATCCAACTATATCATCATACCCATGACAATTACGGTAAATTGCCACTAATATGGTTACAATTGCCTAAATTAAATTTTCAATAAGTGAATTTTCAATTGATTTTTTTTTTGAATTTTCATTTGGAAGATAAAATATTTCTTTATTATTTGGAATTCAGATTTTTTCTCTTTTATTTATGGCAATTTTATTAACTACCTTTTAATTTGCTCGCAGACTGGTTTCCACATAAAATTCCAGTGTCGGGATGAATGGGTGACAATGCCAAAGATTCGATTAACCGAAGAGAAAAATTTGTCTCGTCATACATCTTACTTTTTACCAGAAAATGGAACCACAACTGTCGTCGAAAAAGTGGCCAACAATCTTTTTGTCAAATTCTGTCTGAGCTCTATGAATGAAAACAATACAAAAGTGTTATCAATTCAATCACATTTTGTGATGTGCAATTTTTCCAAACATCAACTAAAGTTCCATGCATTTTGTATTCATCGCAACGAGAAACTTTCGTACAACGACGTCGTGAAACTACTCACCGAAAAATCAAAACCAATGCCAATTTTAGATTATCATCAAACTGTAGACAATACGTAAGAGAATTTTCAATTTTATTTTTATTTTTTTCCAAATTATTTTATTTTTAAAACTATATTTTTTGTCATCTCTTTTTTTTTAAATATAAAAAAACCACTATTATAGATTCAAAGGCTGTGGCTGTACAATATTTTGTGATATTTCCCAAAAGACGTATAAATCGCTGAATAACATGAAAGATTTGAACTACTACATTGTTGTTGGATCTGATGATAATATTCAAAACTATTCGTCACCCATTTTGATCAATAAACCAATCAATCGGACTGCATTCGGAATACAATGCAATGACTCAAATGTAATACTAGTTTCTAGTATTTTTAAACCATTTCTTTTCTTCTGAATATTTTTTTCAATTTTTTTTTCATTCAATGTCTCGTCGAAATCGTACCTACATTTAGATTGAGTTGCTCAATTTTAATAATATTTTTTATCATGCTTTTCATACTTAAATTTTAGATTTCTTTGGCCGCTTCGGTGAACCAACACAATGATCAATTGTACATATCGATTTATGAGGATCGTTTCCCATTCATCGAAATCGATAATCAAACAAATATCGTGATTTTTGTGGCTGAAGCGGATTTTGCCGATTTTTCCAAAAGTCTTAAGCCAAAGAAATCGATTCATGATGACAATTTCCAATGCTATTGCACGATACCAGCCTATGGTCGCATGAATTTTGCACCTCCATCAGTAAACGAACGATTCCCTGAGAAACACAATGCTAATGTTCATCTGATCTTTGGATGTGGAAATAGTGGTATGCGAAAGATTTGAATATTTCTTTTGGAAAAAAATTGTAAAACGAATATTTTTCGTTGAATCATCAGGTGGTGACGTTCAATGGTCCATTCCCGTCGAGACAAACAAAAAGGATGAAAAATATTTAGCGCTACCAAATTATGGAGATATCAAATTGACGTCGTACAGTGTAAACAAGACGGTGAAAATTTTGCTGGAGCACATTGATTTTGTGAGTGAACATTAAAAAATGCATTTCTTAAATTCTTTTTTTATGATCTAAATTTTTCTCATTTATTTTCTCTTTTACTCGTTTTTATCCCACAGAAGAAAGAATTCAACGTGAAAGTGGTTCATACAAAATTGAGCAGTCCAAACAATAATTCCAACAATGATTTAATGAACTCACCAACCGAAAGAGGTTCGGCCACAGATGTGCAACGCATTCGTCAACCAAATCGAATGAGCTCGGTGTCGAAAACAATTATTCACAACTTTATGGCAAATATTTTCATCAAAGAAGTCAATTTGGTTTTGTACGACGATCACAAAGACAATTTGAGCAAAAAGATCAACATTGCTTCAATATTTTTCGATGATTTCATAGTTTGCTATGTGGAAGAGGTAATGCGTGTATGTTCGCAATATTTTGAAGAATTAATTTTATTACATTTGAAAATTTTAGGAGCGAAAGCTTGAGTTTGGCTTTGGAAACATTCAAGTAGACAATAATTTGTATTCGACGGGCAAATACGATTTCCCGGTGATTTTGTGCAGCCAAAATGAGTCTAAAGTAAATAGTAAAAGCATCGAAGTAATTGATAAGAGCAAAGCTAGTTTGAGTACCTCAGAGCGATCGACAGCGATGCAAACATCATTTTCACTGCCATTGATGCGCGAAAATTTGTTCGAAAATCACATCGGTCATTTCAAAATTCTTCTGGAAGACACGGAGTTCAGTGCAAAGGAGATCATATGCAGCGTTCAACCGTTGCGTGTTTACATTGAGGACAAGTTCATAGCCGCTTTGTTGGACTTTGCCATTGAAAATTTGCCATCGAACGTAGTTTATGTACCTGATTCAAATGGGCGCGTGGAATTAAATGCGGGCGAAGTGCTGATACCAAAATTCATCAGCGAAGAAATTCTATCGTTCCTATCGGAGCCACTGCGATTGAATCGGCTGTGTATTAAGCCACTCAGCATTCTACTATCGGTTCACACGTGCATTAGGTAGAATTAATATTAAAATCAAGTAATAGTTTCAAAGGCATTTATAAAATGAATCATTTCATTTCCACAGAATGTACATCGCATTGGATCACAGTCCACTGCATTTCGCGCAGTTCGAGTACAAAAATATTTATACAACGACAATGAAGCTCGGCTATAACATCGGAATGCATTATGTATCCGATGCTATTTTCGGTGCCGGATGGGTAGTTGGATCACTTGAAATACTTGGAAGGTAATTGGTGGTCGTTTGCTCTTTAAATTTTTGAATGAATTCGTGTGAATTTTTCAAATTCATTGAAAATTTGAATGTGAATCATTTTCCCTTTCCAATTTTAGCCCAAGTGGTTTAGCTCGCTCTGTGTCAACCGGTCTATGGGATTTCGTTTCGATGCCAGTGCAAGGATTAATGCGTGGTCCATGGGGTGTTTTGCTTGGCATCACATATGGCTCAGCATCGCTGATTAAAAATATCACTGCGGGCACGGTAAATTCCGTTACAAAGTTGGCTGCATCAGTGGCACGAAATCTCGATCGTTTGACTTTGGATGATGAACATTTAGAGCGAACCGAAGCGATACGACGAATAAGACCATTATCAATCACACATGGCTTAAGTCAAGGTTTGACGGGCTTTGGAATTAACTTACTTGGTGCAGTTGGTGGTATTGCCAGGCATGCACTTGAAGCCAAATCATCTGTCGAAGTATTCACCGGACTTGGAAAGGGAATCATTGGTGTGGTTACCAAACCGATCAGTGGAGCTGCTGAACTATTAGCACTGACTGGGCAAGGTGTTTTGCATACGGTTGGTTTCAATGCAATGCCAATACCGCGAAATATCACCATCTCGAATGAATTCCAAATTCCAATGAGTTTAACCAAAGTTGCATGGAAAATCCTGTCGAAAATCGACTACAACGATTCAGTGTTATCGGTAGCCTTTGCTACAGTGCTGGAAAAAGATAAATCATCGGATGTCACCGTTGCCATTACAACGAAATTAATTTTGCTCATTCTGGATAGTGACAACGAATTGGCCACAGTTCTGCCGATCTCGCGAACAAGAGCGGTCATCGATCCAAATGACAATATACGCCTCATTTTAGCCAATAAAAGTGATGACGAAAGTCAACAGGTGAGATTTGTTGGACAATGGTTATGATGCATCCAAATTCGAGCATTTCTTGAAACTCTTTTGCATCAAACAAATCGAATTATTTTCTACCGTTATTTTTTCTCTTTCTCTTTTTTGCGCCACAGTTCCACCGACAACGAATCTTACAGTATTTATCAAAAACTCATGTGCAATCATCGGATAATCGCTCGAAACTGGAAGAAGACAGTCAAATGAACTACATAAATGATACAAAACGGAATGTTTTGATATGCAAAGATTCGCAAACGGCTCTATACTTGGCGAAATACATTCAATTTTTGTATTATTGTCTGAACACCAACCAAAATTAACCGCAATCACAGATAAATAAATTATGATTTCCTTGTTTTCGCCTAATGGAAAGCAATAAAGATTTAAAAAAGGAAATTTATTTAAAAATTATGAAAAATCGTTTTGCTAATGCATTGAAACAATAAATCAAGCTTGAACAATACAAACAGATTTAGAGCGTTTTGTTCTGATTTTTTATTTGGTAAAATTGGCAAATATATTTTACTCGAAAATACTTAGAGGATTAAACGCCCACATCTTTATTGCAAAATCAAGGGAATCGACCGCGAAATCGACCAGAACGACCAAATCGTCGTAATCGTCGGATTCGTTTCGATGCGGTTGCAGCTGCATAAATAATGAAGTAATGCCGACCGCGTTCTCTACCCGAGTAAATTTCATTTTGATCAATTTGCATTTGATTTATTACACAGAGACAGAGCTGTAATTTGTTTATTTGTTTTTCTTTTTTCTGTGATCTGTAGGAAGTGCCAGTCGGACCCACAAGTACTATTCTATAGTGAGTATCACATTTCTGTCGCCAATCTCAAATTTAAGCAATGTTTGATCAAGCAATTTCGAATCTATGTGGTCATTGCTTTACCTTTAGTCTTAAAATATGCCTACTTTTCCATTTATCATTTGTTACTAGTTTCCATTAATTGCCCACTCTATCAGTTCGTTATATTGCTATTAATTTCATTTCTTTTTACAGGTAGTCCAATACGAAATTTAATTTAATGAAATGAACAAAAAACAAATATGAAAGTGCAATTGATTGTTTTTTTTCCACAATTTTATTATTTATCCTTTGGAAAAGCAGAAATTTTTACACTCGGACATTTAAAATATTTTTGCGTTTATTTTTGTTTTGATTAATATGATTGGAACCAACTGGATTCGATTTCATGAAGGTAGTATGCTTTCTCAAGATTTCTGGAAATACTAAAGAATTAAACTAGAAACTTGAATTGTAAAATTCCATTTTAATGCACACGATTTCAAATGAAAATTTGTTCTAGAAAAGTATGTTACTAATGAGTTTAAAAACTTAATTTTAACCGAAAATAACATTGATGAGATAGCCTTCTTCTCATTTCAAAACCAAGAATCAGGGGAAATCATTTTTTTTCATCGAAATTTCCATCCTTTCGATAGCATATACACTGGGTACAGTTATATTTTATCACGTGACATTTGGATCATTTTCAATCGAAAATACTCGGCCATCGTAGCAATTTGGAGTTTAATTTTGTTTATCAAATTTTGATATTGTATCATATAGCTCCAGACGACGCTGTTTTGAAACCGGAATTTGCTCTCTGACCTTTTGGACCAGGGTCGTGTCTGCAAACAGAACAAAATGGACTCGAATTCATTGCAAAATAAAATATGAAAAACATTTGGATTGAAACCAGTTTGAACTGGAACATTTACCAAGATCAGCAACAATTGTTTCTTCACCGTCTTGTGCCGACCTGACAATTTTGGCCCATGGATCGACGACCATTGAATGACCCCAAGCCACATACTCAGATGACACGTCTCGAGCTATTGAAATTAAAGCAGAATGATCAAAGAAATTTTCCTAAAGTTTTACCGCACTTTTTGTTTCTCTGTGCGATCCTCGCATACCTGGTGAAACGGTTGCGACAAAGAGTTGCAAGTCATTTGCACGAGCTCGCTGAAGCAATTCCCAATGCAATGGACCAGTCGTCATATTGAATGCAGCCGGATAGAGGAGCATGTCACAGCCTAAATGTAGATTGAATTGTTTGTTACATGGCTGCTGATGCAAATGATTCTATTCTCTCTGTTCAAATACCATTATTCCGGTAAATTCGTGCCAGCTCTTCAAATCGAATATCATAGCATATTCCGATGCCAATTTTGAAACCGTCCAACTCCAAAAAGGCAAGCTTATTTCCTGCTGACAATGTTTCTGATTCCTTGAAGCGTATACCTCCTTTGACATCGATGTCAAACAGATGCATCTAATCAAAATGAATACAAATATGTGGCACAAGTGGTTGTTGATCAATTTTAGTAAACGTGCGTACCTTGCGGTATTTGGCGATTAAATCGCCAGACGGAGACCAGATAGTACAAGTATTATACAGTTTATTATCGCTATTATCACGTTCAGGGATCGTTCCACCGATCAGAAACACATTCAATTCTTTTGCAATGTTCGCCAATGCTTTGCTTGTATCACCGTCGGGTATATTCTCTGCATACTCGTTGAAATATTTAGTGCCATAGGGCGAATTGAAGCATTCTGGCAATGCAACCACTTTTGGTTTATCCTTCTCGACGGTTTTCCGGATGCTATTGCATGCATGAGTGATATTCTCCAGCTTATTTTTGCCGATTTTCATTTGAATCAATGAAATTCGCAATGCTAAAAATGATCAAAACACACAATTTCCATGAAGATATTTTGTATATTGACATTCGAAAAGAACAACAGAAATACCTTTGCTTAAGCTCTCCATTTTCTGTGGCAATGATCAAATGACAAGCGAAATTTGGAAAATAAATCAGTATATTAATAAAAAATTACTGATAAAGTTTATCGCTGAATTGAATCAAAGACAAATACAATGGAAGAGCAAAATTCAAAAACTTATCAATTTGACAAGTAGACCTTTTCACAACGGTGGCGCTAGTGACAAACGCATAGTTGAAGCGGCACCATTTGACAGTATATGCTGTCACACACGCACAGTTCAGAACATAACAACTAAACGGGCAATATTCGGACAGCACGTGTTGCAGTGCTCATACGTTGCAGTTCTTGTGTTTTAGAAGTGTTTGATGTTTTGTTGAATATTTTTTCTTACATTTTGATCGATAGAAAATCAATTAACAAAATGAAACCGATCGATTGTGATGAAACGGAGAATCTCCGTGTGAATTTATTAACACAAGAGATCAAATTCGCAAAAATGCTGGCGGGTAACACGTTTGATGGTGCGCTCAAGGAAAAACACATAGATAAACTGTCAATTTGGTTGAAAAATCGTGCGGCATGCACAGAAGGTACTAATGAAATCATTTACAATTCGTACGGTTTCATTTGATGATAAAATTTGTTTCTTCGTTCATTTGCAATAGAATTCACAGACAAAGATTGCTTGCGAATTTGGAAGGGACTGTATTACAGCATGTGGATGTCAGATAAGCCAATACCGCAAGAAAATTTAGCGAATAAAATTGCCGGATTGTTGAACAGTTTCGATCAGATCGAAGCCAGTCTTCAGTTTTTTGCAGCATTCTTGAAAACAATGGCCATGGAATGGAATAGTATCGATCAATGGCGCATCGATAAATTCATGATGCTGGTGCGTAAAGTTACACGTGAAGTGTTACGCATTCTACAGACAAACAACTGGAATGATGAAGCCATTGAAAAACTGAATCAAACATTGTCGAAAACCGTTTTAGGCGCTGAATTTCATGTGCCTAGAGGTTTGTTTATGCATTTTACCGAACTATTCTTTGAAGAAGTAGCCAAAGTGTCGAATGGCGAAATCGAAGCCGATAGTATCACAAAGCTTCTGAAACCGTTCATGTTCTACGTTGCCTCGCAAAGCGATTACAAACTCATTCAGTTTGTTGTTCGTCAAGTTTTCAATCATTTGCTGTTTCAAAGTGAAAGTGGTCGCGAGTACAAGGAGAAATTTGACGCCTGGAAATCGGTGAGTGGACTTTTCTTTAGAAATATCTTTATATTTTTGATGATAACTATTTTGAATTGATGCACTCGGTTTTGTACCCAATTGGAATTCCAATCGATTCCAATTTGTTGTTCTTTGCAATCGATTTCATGCATTTTTTCATAATTCGTCATTTCAGATGAATTTCCCAGGCAAATCGATTGACGAATTGGTACTTGAAGAGCCCGAAGAAACTGATGAAAAAGCTAATGGCGAAGAGGAGAACGGCGACGGAGAAGATGAAGATGGATCCGACAATTCTGAAGATGTTCAAGGTAAGCCAATACATTTGTTGTGAATACAAACGCACGTCTGAAACGAAAATACCTTATTTTAGATGAAACTGAAATTAAATCGAAGCCCGCCATGGACCCAAGAGCGGGTCGTGTTGATGTAGTAATGCCTGAGATCAAATTTGATCCGCTCGAAATTGTTAGTCAACTCGAGGATTTGAAGTACAAAAAATTCACCAGAGTTCGCAATCGCAAATGTATCGATCGTATTACGACCACATACAAGAAATTTGCGAGCGGTGTCTTCCCAATTGGTATACAAAAAATTAAAATCGATCGCGATGAATTGGAAGTTCCTGATGTTGAGGAAAAAGCGGAGGAACTGCTCGAATTCGAAAATGAATTGTATGGCAAACAGCGTGAATTGAAGAAGATCAATAAGCGAAAACGGAAGAAGATCGTTTCAGATCAGACATTATTCGATGAGTTCCAAGCAAAATCGAGTAAAATAGCTAAGATTAAGCACGACGCCAATTTGTGGACAGAGGAAGACATCACCGAGGAGAATGGAGCGGAAACGCCCGCAAAGAAATCGAAGAAAGCTAAGAAAGTTGAACCCAAAGAGACGGTTTCAGCTGCCGAGACGCCAAAAAATGCAAAAAAGCATAAGAGCTCAGAGTGGGGAGCTCCGTTGGCGGATGGAGAAGTGGAATATTTCATTCCATCGAAGAAACAACAATTGAATGGAGTGCTACGAGTAACGAAAACTGCCGATTCTGTCGCCGAACATGTAATCACTCCGAAGGGTGACAAACCAAAAGTAAACGGTACTGAAGCAAATGTATCGGCCGAAAATGAGACCCCAAAAAAATCGCCGAAGGTAAAGAAATCAAAAGCGGAAAATATAATAACGTCAGTGGCAAATGGTACAGATACAAATGTATCGGCTAACATCAAAGAAACGCCGAAAAAATCACCAAAAGTGAAGAAACCAAAAGCCGAAAATGTGACGCCAGTTACAAACTCAAAAACACCCAAGACACCCGAACCAAGCAAATCGACACCGGAACTGAATAGCTCGCCGAAAACAGCATCAGATAAAAAGGTAAAACCCACTTCGAAGTTAGCACAATCAAAAACCTCGACTCCGAATATTTTTGTAGACAAAGCAACGCCAACGTCGTCCGCTGAGAAACGTGTCAAAATCGCACTGAAAATGAACCAATCACAAGAAGTCACCGAATACATCCGGCAACTTAGGCAATCGCCGCATCCATATGATTCAGCGAAGAAACCTTCGAAAGGTGTGTTAAAACCCAATTTGGCGCCAAGCCCAATCAATCCATTTTATAAGCGATTGATTGGCATAGAATAAATTTAACTTGCAACTTTTTTTTGTAATTTACTAAATATTCAATAAAATTTTTATCACAATGATGAAGAACATGGAAAAAAGAATTGAAACGTAAGTTGCTTCGACAATTTTTTTTTCGCTTGTTTTCAATTTTATTTTAGTTTAAGGAAAGATTTTCAAAAGATTTTTTCAAAGCAAAAAGTTGCTTAAAACTTGGATAGTGGTTTATCGGTCGTTTGATTCAAAATCACTGATGGTAACAACCATCGATTGATTCTCGATCGAGCAATTTGACACTTGGACGAAGGGGAAGATGGTAAACGCGCGCACCCTCAACTGTTGACGGTCCGTGTGTGTGTACAAATTTTTTGGTCGACATGAAATTAGCCCAGCGACGGAATGTTATAGCGCATGAGCAACAAATGTACAAACTTCAAAATCCGTAAATATTTTCTTCAAAATAGCACAAATTCAACAGAAAAGGAAAACATTTATTTTGCACAACATAACCAATTGAGTTAATATTACGGTATATTTAATGGTGTGATATACAGGATTTATCGAAAGAAACAACATAAAACATGTGGATCGAATAAGTTCGAATTGAATAATTTACAAAAATGCGTGAAAGTGTTTTATTGGACACTTGCATACAGCAGCTCGATGTGGGATACGGAATTCAGTGAATGAGAGAAAGAGAGCAGCCACCAAAAAAATCGATATTAGCATACCTTTATCATAGTGGATGTATAAACAACAAAATAAAATTTCAACAATCACAACGCGACAAACTCACATTTTGGCTAAGCAAAAATGAATATTATCAACAGTATCTATGTTATTTTTGTATTCATATCGGCATCCATACCTGCATTTAGAGGTACATTTTCTGTGCTGCATGTTTTTCATCTCGTTTTTGTTCTTCCTTGGGTAAAATGATAATGGTTTCGCGTTTGTTTTTACAGCTGAATTAAGCAAAAATCTTCATTATTATGAATCCATACACGCCGATGATGTTGTTCATAGAATCGTAAAACGTGGCACAAAACAGAGTTATCATCCATTTAATGTTATAAAAGAAGTCGAATTTAAGGCCCTTGGTCGGCACTTCCGAATTATTTTGCATCCACAACGTGATGTGTTGCATAGCAATTTTAAAGCATATTCGGTGGATGGCGATGGACATGAGAAAATTGTTCATTTTGGTGAGTTTCATTCAAAATTCGATAGATTTAAAGTTAAAATTTTCACTCGATAGATGTTGCGATTTTTACTAAGGCCTTTCAAATTTCCATTTAGATCATGAGAGTCTGTATAGTGGCCGAGTGTTTGGCGAAGCACAGTCATCCGTTCGAGCACACATAGAAGACAAAATGATAACGGCCAATATCATATTGCCGGATGAAACGTATCACATTGAGGTAGGTGGATGGAGGCGGCTGTGATAAATCGATATTTAAAAATGAATGACGTCAAAGATCGACAAAATAAAATTTTACCTTCAAACCGTGAAATGGGCACTGTATGCCCAAAACCAACTTTGAATGCTTATATCTGAATTATTTCTTATCATAAATTAATAAAATAACTACGGTTCGATTCGTTGAACATTTGGCTGCAAAAATTGCGTTAACATACCCACATACGCGCACTAGCTTACCACATATGCGCGTAAACATTTGTGATGCGCTATACGTGAAATGGGCTAGGGGGATTTCTCACACAAAAAGTTTGAGCAAATGTGCAAAAATTTCTATTATTTCTTCTTTTTTATTGAAATTATATGAAAATGTACTGAAATGACGAATTTGCTTGAATAAAAGTGTTCTGGAAGTGGGTTTTGGAGGATCCTCAGGATGGACCAGATCCGGTTTAACATTGCCCTGGACCATCCTGAAGATTCACTTCCAGAACTGGGAGCAGTTCTGAACAATCCTGAGGATCCTCCAAAACCCACTTCCAGAACACTTCTATTCAAGCATAATTAAAAAGTTCAGTGTAAATGTACATTTATTTACACGAATTGACAAAAATTGATCGAATCGGACCGAATTGAAGAAATTTTTCAAAATTTTTAAGAATTCATTCATTTTTTTTCGTGAGAAATCCCCCTAGGTGCCTCTATGCCCATATACATTTTTCGAAAAATTGCGTATAAAAATTAATGTGCAAACACAGAGAAAAACAAATTCATTTTCGCGTAGCAAAATGTTATAATGTGACGAATTCTAACACATGTTGAGATTTTCACAAGAAATGTTTTGTTCCATATTCACTCAGTGAATGAGTAAATTTAACTCAAGTATTTGTCAATTGAGTGACCGTTTGCATACGTTGTCTAATTTGACAAGTAGTTTCACTCAGTTTTGAGATTGTCAAATTAGACAACGTATGCAAACGGTCACTCAATTGACAAATACTTGAGTTAAATTTAGTCATTCACTGAGTGAATATGGAACAGAACATTTGTTGTGAAAATCTCAAAATGTGTTGGAATTCGTCATATTACAACATTTTGCTACGCGAAAATGAATTTATTTTTCTCAGTGAACTATGAAATAAACATCATTGGAAAGATCTTGAAAAGTACATGTAATTTGAGTTATAAAACATCAAAATCGACCATCACTTTATCAAAATATGGCCATTTTATCAATTTTGGCCAAAAAATTCCAACGGCCAAATATTGGCCAAATGCCGGTCTATTTTGAAGTTTTATACCAAAAATGACATCTCCTTTTCAAGACCTTTCTAGTGATGTACAATTGTACATAACTTTTTGATCCAACCTGCCGTTCAAAATGTCAATTTTTGACGTCAAAATCGGCCATAGTGGAATTTGTATGTATATGTTTTTGCCGTCATTGCAATCTCCACTTTATTGAAAAATTCCAAAAAATGCTGTTGTCTTTCATATTTCGATTTTTTATGACTTTTATCACATTTCAAAGTGATTTTCATACTATTTCGATCAATAAATACTGAAATACTTACATTTAAAAATAAAAATTTAAGAACAAACCGACACTTCCCATTTAAAATTCATTATGGGCACTAAGGCTTCACGAACAACGTTAGAAAATACATTTCACGGTTTGAAGGTTAAAAATAAACTTCATTCATGTTTTAGCCCTCTTGGAGGCATCTACCACATCTATCCGATCGTCATATGATTGCCTATAAACAATCGGACATTAAATTGAGTTGGATGGCAAACGAAACGGTCAATAGCTTTCCAAAGGTGTGTGGATACGTAAAAGAAGGCGCAGGTAAATAACTTTACTAATTATAATTGGTTGAAGTGTATAATTGAAGAATTAGAAAATCGTCCAAACTAACAACATAATTTAACTTCCGACACAGAAAATGATGTCGATGAGCATGATGTTAGGCCAGCAAAGAACAAAACGAGCTTGTTGTCCGACTATTTATTCAACAATTTAAAGAAGCATAACCGACACAAACGGCAAGCCGATCAATACGAATACACGCCAACCAAAACGAGATGCCCACTGCTATTGGTGGCCGATTATCGATTTTTCCAAGAAATGGGCAGCGGAAACACGAAAACAACAATTAATTATCTTGTGAGTCGGATTTTTCTTTCATTACATTGCTTTTATGATGAGTTCAATTGGAATCGCCCATATAAATAGTAATAAATGATTGTGCGTGTGGACGCGTGGTATGTGTTGTATATATTTTTAGATAAGTCTGATAGATCGTGTGCACAAAATATATAATGACACCGTTTGGCAAGACAGAGCGGTAAGTGACAATGATAATTATATTCGATTTTTGAGTCCAAAATTAATTGTTTTGATGGTTAATTATTTATTGACCCGCTGAATATGATTATATAATAGGATCAGGAAGGATTTCGTGGCATGGGCTTTGTGATAAAGAAAATTGTCGTTCATTCCGAACCGACTCGTGTTCGTGGCGGCGAAGCCCATTACAATATGGTGCGAGAGAAATGGGATGTGCGAAATTTGCTGGAAGTATTTTCGCGCGAGTACAGCCACAAAGATTTTTGCCTGGCACATCTGTTCACTGATCTGAAATTCGAAGGAGGCATCCTTGGATTGGCTTATGTTGGATCGCCACGACGCAACTCAGTTGGTGGCATATGCACGCCAGAATACTTTAAAAATGGTTATACATTGTACCTTAACTCTGGTTTAAGTAGTTCAAGAAATCATTACGGGCAACGGGTCATAACTCGTGAAGCTGACTTGGTCACCGCACATGAATTTGGCCACAATTGGGGCTCTGAACATGATCCCGACATTCCCGAATGCTCACCAAGCGCTTCTCAAGGCGGTAGTTATTTAATGTACACATATTCAGTTAGCGGATACGATGTTAACAATAAGGTAATTTCCACAACAAATACACCATAACTCCCTGCAACCATTTACAAATTCCATTTCATTTTTTCTGCTACAGAAATTTTCCCCTTGCTCATTGAGATCCATACGAAAAGTGTTGCAAGCCAAATCGGGTCGCTGTTTCTCCGAACCTGAAGAATCATTCTGTGGTAATTAACTCTTTTAATTTAATTTGTTTCACGCGATTTTGCGTTGCTTCACAAATTGAACCATAGCTAGTTTGCTGGAAAAAAAGAAGCCACCACATTATTATTGAATTTTTAAAGTTTGTCCCAGTTAAAAGCCATTTTCCTCAATGTGATTTATTCAATGACAGGTAATTTACGAGTCGAAGGTGACGAACAATGTGATGCTGGTTTGCTTGGGACCGAAGATAATGATGCATGTTGTGATAAAAACTGTAAATTACGCCGAAATCAAGGGGCCGTTTGTAGTGATAAAAATTCGCCATGTTGCCAGAATTGCCAGTATATGACGGCTGGCGTGAAGTGTCGTGAGGCACAGTATGCAACGTGCGAACAGGAAGCTAGGTGTTCGGGTGGCCAATCAGAGTGCCCGAAATCACCGCCAATGGTGGATGGTACCACCTGCCAAGAGCGAGGTCAATGTCGCAATGGAAAATGTATTCCATACTGTGAAACTCAGGGTTTGCAAAGCTGTATGTGCGACATAATTCAGGACGCATGCAAACGATGCTGTCGAATGAGCATTAATGAAACATGCTTCCCCGTCGAACCGCCCGACATTCTATCCGATGGCACCCCTTGCATTCAAGGCTTCTGTAACAAGGTAAATATTTGCATAAATCATTATGCCGTGAAACAAATTTTATTTGCAATTTATTTCACCAAAAAAAAGTAAATTCGCATTGAACACAAACAGTTCATAATTCGAGAAACACAAATCAATACAAAAAAAAACACCTCATTTAAAAACCATTCATTTCCAATTCAGGGCGTGTGTGAAAAAAGCATACAAGATGTGGTTGAGCGATTCTGGGATATTATCGAAGAAATCAATATAAACAAAGTATTGAAATTTATGCGCGACAACATCGTCAGTGAGTATTTCAAGCAAATGCACGAAACAAACATAAACGCTCACATATTTTGCAATGTGTCTGTCAAAAATATCGAATCTTGTTGGTCCTTGTTGTCATTAAAATTTATTTATTTATTCATTACGAACATTTCCCCCCTCCCCCATTTCATTTTTTGACCTTATTTTTAGATCATTTGATTTTTTTTTTTTTTGAACTAATGAAAAATTCATATTGTTGTTGGAAATAGTTTCCATGTATTCTCTAGTTCGCCTCGGAAATGTGTTCGCCTTTGACATTTTCATTTTAGACGTAATTTTCATTCATAAAAATGGGTTTTTTCATCATAGTAATTTAATTTCACTAAATTGATCAAGCGTCGATGATAATAATTATAATAAACAAAGGCTAACATCTCAAGAGACTTTGTGATATTTTGGAAATGTGGAAAAAATTCAAGTGCGGCAATGTTTGCTTCACGCACTGTATCTATCTAAAACCAAATAGGTTGTTTGTATGAATATTCCAAGGGATGGGCGTCATTTGATATCGTTTCCATATCATTTCAGTGTCGGTAGTATTGTTGACAGCACTGTTTTGGATTCCGGCAAGCACAACTATCTCGTACGTTGACCGTAAAAAGAGACGTAACGAATCAAAGGAATATAAATGGAATAATTCATTAGATTTGATTCATCCAAGCGATAGACGACGTGTAATTCATATACGGTAAATTTTTCTAAACGGATCTAAATATAAATTGTGCAGTATGACGTCATTTGTCTCCATTTTATTGATGAGCGCTTTTTTCTCTTCCTCTCTCTCCCTCAATTTCCATCTGAATCTTTTTTCATACTCTAGCGTTCCGCGTCAAAAGGTAACCATGGGCCGTATTTAAACACTGCTTGATCTGTCAACCAAAGTAATTTATACATACGTACGATCGAAAATTTGTATTATACACAAAAGGCATACATATTAAAGGGCAAAAGAAGAGAGAAGAGGAAAAAAACCCGACACACACACGCATAAGCATACAAGAAAAAAAAGACAAAAATTGAAAAATTGAAGAACCCAGGTGAAAAAATAAAACAATAAAAAATCATTTGAAAAAGCATCAATCTCTTTTATTTGAAGTCGTCATCTCGAAATGGACTGTGGTGTTGTTGTTTGTATTGTGAGCGATGGAGCGAGTCAACATCGTCAAGTTAGACTGCGTCATGCTGAAAGATTTTCTGCCATTGAATGACGCATGTGCAGTTGAGCGTTAAAAATATGTGTTTCTGCCGCCTCATTTGGAGTGGCAGGAACGGAAAAAAAAGTAGCAGCAAGCAGCAAGCACCAAGCACAAAGCGCGTTTCATTACATAGACACTTTCACTTTGTTTTCGTCACTTCTTCGGCAATATGACGTAAAATGAATGTTTACGTAGATTCGCAGTCGGATCATCAATAATTTTACCCAAGCATTTTCTAAACGTAAAAATATAATAACCAATTATTCGTTGGAACTGTGTGTAGTGGAAATATCAAGCGCGCGCGAGCGCCGTGCTCGCTTTTTATCCATCCACACGAATTATGCATTCTCTATGCCTAAAACGTATACATACATAGAGAATATTTCACATTTTCTCAAATATAAGAGAGAGAGAGGGGGAGGCATGGCGTGTGTGTATTGTTGTGTAGTTAAAAATGCGGCAAAAACACAGCCCCAAAAAACATCCAAAAGGATTTCTCAAAAACTTTTAATCGCCATTTATTATTTACCTTGAAAGTGTGTTAGGAAAGCCAGAAATCTTGAAAGAAAAAAATGACGACGACGACGAGAAGGAAGCTTAAAATCTCTCCCCCTTTTCGGATTAAAGCCGTGAAATGGTCGCAGTGAGCATTGGAATGTATGGAAGGCATGCTTCAAGAAAGGTCAATTACATGAAACAGAGTCTGAGCTTTGAAGATCCAATTTTTTTATATACGTGGTGGTATATGTGCCGTACGTTCATGCAAGAGAACGAGAGAAATTTGTAGTGATGATGACAGACATCTCTTTGTTGAGCGCATTAAATCTACTCGGAATAGTAGTGTTACGGTTATTAGCGACACACACTCTCTTCAGTGTGAAAAATGTCTTTACACACTCTCTATAATGAAAAATCTTCCATTTGAACTAGAAGCGCCAATACAAAGCAAACTTTTTCGCAACACTATGTGGAAACTCTCGTTCGTTCTTTCCTTTTTTCGCTCTCTTTCTCTCTCTCTCCCTCTGTCTCTCTCTTTCTTTTTCGCGCGCAACTTTGCGCTCTCTTCCTCACACATTCTTCATGCCATAATGCTGGTGCTGGTGCTGGTGCTGGTGCTGGTGTGTTGTATTCTCTGCTTCGTTCCTTTTTTTCGCATGTCAAATTCCACCATCACATATTGCAGTGTTGTAACACAACAAAATACATCCCTGTGCCCCTCACATGCTAGATAGACGTGCACGCGTACATATGCCCGATCCTCTCTCTTGCGCGCGTAGTACAACGATATTTATGTATGTATAACATGTTATGTATAGATTGGTAGGCCCATTGGAGTGCTTTAAGTTCGACTTTCCACATCGCTGTGTGAATATTTTCTTTTACGTGAGAAACGTCGACCGACTGAGGACGTATCAACTGTGAAGCGTGGCAAAAGCGGAAAAATCAATGAACAAGAAAAATACTCCATCGTAGCCAGTAAATTGTTTAACTTATTCCCAATAAAAATGGTAAAAGATTCTATAATATTTTTTTTCGTTCGTTCGTTCGTTCATACATTCGGTTTCGCTATTATTTGCATTTGTCACGTTAAGTTTGTTGTTTAGTGTGTATATACATGCGTTAGTGATGGTGGAGACTTCAAAAAAAAAAAATAAGCAACCCATTTTTTTGGTGTGTACAGTTTTTCGTCTGATTGAAAGCAATAAACATTGCGGTCAGTGTGAATGATATTTTATACAAGCTCTCGTTCAATCTCGGATTGATTGTTTGCTTGAATGATTGAATGGTGCTCGATTGGATTATCTGAGATTAAAATGACAGATTTTGTGTGCCATTTTACAACGTTACATCACTTCAACACAAGACCCCAACCGAACATAAAACTGATTTTATTGTGTTTATTTTTTTTTCTCCGTAAGTTTGTTTTTTTTTCGGCGGAGCTTTCATTCTGTCTCCCTTTTTCTCGGCAAGTGAAGGAAAAAAAAAGAAGATTCCATGGAAAACAAAACGACAACCGAAATGAGAATAGAAAGGATATGGAAAAGAGAAATGCGCCAGTGTACATAGGATATTTGTTAACAATAATACTCGGGGAATCGACACAGAAAAACACGAGGCAAAATACTCTGTTTCATACCAACATAAGTAGTGTGCTAAGAAGTATTTTCCATGTAAGTGGTGTGTTTAACTGAAACACGACGTGTAGTGGTGTCTTTGTCATTCTGAGAGTTAGCGGGTTTCTTTTATTTTTTCTCTCTCTCTTTCTCTCGTTCACTCTCTTCGTCTCCATTTTCATTGTGCTATCTCGACTGTGCTCTCTAGTTCTTTTTATTGCTGCGTATTCTCGCGTACGAGGACCCGAATACCTCTACCTGCCGTAATGTGATTTCATTGTATACGTACGTACGACTACGCTATGCGCACTATTTAATACTGGGTAATATTTCATGCAATTGCGGATAAATAAAGGAGAACTTATTTAACAAATGACCCCTGCTAATTATGTACATCATGCACCAATAAAAATGTGATTTTTGTGCTGTGTTTGAGAGTGTGAGGAAACGTGTATGATTTCTCTTTGGGTTACACTATTTTACACACCATTTATTGCCGTAAAAATATCCCCCTGATTACATTTTCTCTTTCCCATTTTTTCGGCCATCTCTCTTCAGTGTACGATTTCATTGTAAATTATTCTTGTTTTTCGAAAAATCCGCGTCACACCGTTGTTGCCGTTCGTTTCCATGAGTTAGTGCTTTTTTTTCATTTTCATTTAAATACATGGTTTGTTCTCAAACTAAAAACTAATTTTTTTAAAAATTAACGTGTTTCTCTTCGAAATTGAGTCCTTCAGAGAGCTTTAATTTGATTTTCGGGTTAACTCGTGTTATGTAAGTGTTGGTTTGTATTTTAGAATTTTTCTAATTACAAGTGTTGCATTTTCCGCGTGTGTCCTCGTAATTAGAGCACGGCAAAGTTTTCGCCCATATTGAGTGTAGTGCATTGGAAGTTGACCGTTTCGGTTGTGTTCGAGTGTGTGTATTTGCTTTTTTTTTCATTGGAATCAACATTTAATTTTCAATTTCTGAAGAAAAACTAGTTTAAAATTAGATAAGCACAAAACGAGAGAAAAGTTTCCCATAAGTTTTCGCCAAGTATTGAGTTTTGCAGAAGAAATGCGTTGCAGAAAAAAACTTTTTTTCTATATTCTTGGTGCGAGCAATAAAAATCGGATGAAAATCAATATGTATATATACTACTTGCCAAATGAACGCCGAAATGTTACACACTCATTCCATGTGCCTACCTGCCTGCCTGCCTGCTTGCTCGCCTGTTGGTTGATTTAATGTTCATATTTGAACAGTATTAAGAACGAGGCAAAAAGTGCGACGAGCGAGCGTGAGTGAGGAAGAGAGACGAAAAGGAACAGTGAAAACCCGAACCATACACACGAAAATTTAGCATACAATCACTTTAGTGCTATTCCGTTCTGCATCAGCAATGGCGTAACGCCAGAGGAAAGCACGTTCATGTAGGCATCGTTCATCGTTGATTGTTTTACTTTATTTTGCTTCAGTTGTGTGTTGTTTTTTTTTTATTATTCGTTTCGTATCGTTTTCGGTGGTGGTGTGTTGTTTCCGAAAGGAACATCATGAGACTTTGCAAATGCATTGCATTTTCGTCGTGTGTGAGCATGTGTGTAGAAATATATTTCACTCATTTGTAAAGTTTACTCTTTCAGCAGAAGTTGTTTTTGAGTTTGACGAAAACTTATAGTGTTCAAGAAACATAAATAAATTGACATTAAACGCCTATATAATTTTCTGTCGAATTGGATGCGAGTAAAGAAAAACACAAGTTTAATGGAATCATAGAAAAAGAAGAAGCAAAAAAAAGATTAACAAAACTTCAAGAGAGAAGAATTGAATACGAATCGAAACGTGACGAAAACACAGAAAACAAAATTCACGGTGTATTTGTGAAAGGAAAATGCTGCTTGTGATCAAAACGAAGAAAAAGAAGACATTCGCGTCGAAACATGTAAATTAAAACAAAAGAAGGCGATCACAAATCGTGCCGTTCACATATAGCGCAACCATCAACTAATCATGAGAATTCGTCTCAACGAATTGGCAGTGGATCTCCTTAGCTATTTGTTCATGGTTCAATACATTTATTGGGTAAATGGCAGTGAATTTCCAGAACGTGAGTGCTGTGACACAATTTTTTCATCGCCACCAAATCCAGAGCCGGTGCAACCGACCCAATCAACAATAATACATACACAAATCATACCATCGACGGCTACTAATTTGACTACAGGTAACGAAGTGCACAAATTGCTCCCTTGTTCGAACCGTATCCAATTTTGAAAGAAATACAAAACCACAGAAGAAATTAATCGATTTATTGTGTGCCGCTGAAATGAATGCGGTTGCTTTTGATGTTTGTGTGTGTTCGTGTGTGTACGAATATTGATGCTTATCAATGTTTTAGGGACACAAGGGAAACCTGCTATCGCAATATTAAGTTGTATTTTGGCGCGCCAGTTATGTTTTGAGGATCCATCATGTTCGGCCATATTGGAAATTATACCACGTGTTTGTGGTCCTGTTCCAGGTAAATAATATCAAGACTTAACTCTTAGGTGTGCGCTAGCGTATAATGCTATACATAATGAGCAGAATTTCGAACGTGGGTGGGGAAGGGTGCTTAAAAGAGAGGGCGCACTTGAACTGCTGACATTTAATCGCTTTGTAAATTTTAAACATGCATTAATGCGACATTTTCTACATTGTTCATGTTTATCTCATGTGCATAGTGGCATGCAGTACAGTTACGGTGACAAAGTGTTTGGCAGCACTGAAAACATTGCAAGCATTTCCATTTTTCCGTCCAACATGTCTATGTAAGGAGCCCGGTCTCGATCCAGAATGCAACAATTTCCAAGACTTTCTATTCGACCATCCGTGTGGTCTTGTGAGGAAAAAAGGTATGTGTTACCATCGGTGTATAATTAAATTTGCCAATTGTAACATCCGTAACAATGGATGTGCGTCAGTTTTGGTTGTATCTGACAAATTCCTATTTGGAATAACAAATAGCTAACATATATGTCAATCAATTTGTGTTGGGCTATTTTTAGAAAAAGATCCATATCCAATTGATGCGCTGCCAACGTGCAACCACGCATTAGCTGTATGCCAACAGTCACCGAAATGCATTGAACTTTTCGAAAGTTTTAAAATATATTGCAAAGTTCGTGATAATAAATGTCGAATGGAAGACAAGTGAGCATTTATATCTCGATTATCCATCTCTCTCACAATTGACTGAACCACTAATGAGCTCAACCATATATTATATATATATATGTATCTGTTCTCTCTCGTTTTATTTTTTCTATTTGTCCGTTTGCCGCAGAAATCTGTGCTACGAAGCATGGTCGAAAATGAGATTGTCGCCAATGTTTGGTTGCATTTGTCCAAATAACCACATAAAACGACGCTGTGATAGAATATTTAGCATGGTAAATCATAATCCGTGTGTTGGTAAGTAATTTTCATGCCGATTAAAATTTTGAACAAACATAGAGAATTATGTATGTTACAATCTTTTCTGTTAATTTTGGAAATTTGATTTTGACGTGCACCGTTTTGGTCATTCATGCAGGCATACACCTTTTTCTCGAGCGTTTTCTCTCTCAATCTCTCTCTCTCTCTTTCTCATATAGACGCGCCACAATTTAAATTAGAGAAATGAAAAACTATCTAATACATACATTATTAATTCACTGATGATTTCGAAACTAATCTCAGATAAACACGCGCACTTGTCTATTAGGATATACACACGCACATAGAGATAATATATATATTTTAGGAAATTTGTTATGTTACCACACATTGGATATAATTTAATTAAACAAAATGTCAATGCCTTCCGTACATGAAAAGCCTATGAAATGTAATAAGTGGATGTGAGTTCAACGAGCTTTTTTTTCCTCACCACTACACCAACCACACATACACACAAACACACACACACACACCATCGCACTTGATTTGGTTTTGAGTTTTCTTTTGCCGAAATGTGTTGTTCAAGCATTGTATGTTTTCTATTGTGCGCGCGAAGATCAACGAGACAACAATTTCGAATGCATGTAACGGCAGCAATAATAAACAATATATTTGGATGGGGAATTTGAGGCAGAATTTTGCTCAGCATAACAACAACAACAGCCACAAGATACATGGATTGACAATCACAAAGAGCTATGTGGTTCTTTTTTGTCGATCTGAGAATTTTCTCGAAGAAATGTCTCTTAATCCGCTTTCAATTCTCAGCCGTACAAATGATCGACGGCAATACCAAAGCGCATTTACCTGGCGCCCAATTAGAAATGTTCGACATATTTGCTTTTAATCTCCCTGTTGGCTATATACAAGTGTATAAAAACAATATATGATTTGCATGCAATATGATCTGTTTGAGAAAAAGCAAAAACGAAATTGAGTAAACGAAGAAATAACCGCTTTTTATCGCTCCGTGTGCTGGCGCTCGCTCTCTCTCTCCCTTTGAAAGTTCATTCCACCAATAAAACAAGGAAATGCATTCAACTGCAGCCGACTTCAACCGTTGCCACATTTCAATGGAGACCATGTTATTTTTTCCTACTAGCGTCGAGTTTTTTTGTCATAAACGAATTTTATGGCAGTAAAAGAAAACTTCGGCATTTTCTAGCAGTAAACTTGCTAATAGCATGTTTTCAACCAATTTCAACTCAAAAATGTCACACATTCGAACGCACTTTTCGTTTATTGTATTTTATTTTGTTTTCAAGAACAAAATCACTATCCTAGGACTGCTTATTTTGCGTGCAATTTTTACCATGAATATTTGTAATATGTAGTAGCATTTGAGAACGAAACCAATCTATGGAGAAAAAAAACCATTCAGCTGATTTAGTTGATATTTTTCTTGTAGCTTAAGAGTAATTTTTACCAGCAACACAATTAATTCTTTGAACAGATGTTTTAAATAATTTTTAAATTTGTTTTTTTTTTCTTTATTTTCTGGGTTCAAAAAAAATAACACACAAAAATAGTAAAGAAAACAAAACCTATCTTTAACTGACATGGATACCACCACAACCACCAACCACCTCATCGGCACGTATTAAAAACAAAACGCACGAAGCTAAACAAAAAAAAATAAAAAATTGTTTTATTTGTTCTGCACACACTTGCACCAACCTGTACTAGAAAAATAAAACTGGTATTTCAAATGAAACAATAATAAAAAAATAGAGCACAAAAGTCACACTATAATACCACCACCACCACCACCATCACTACATGCTAATCCGCATCACATTCTTCCACTCGAATAATAAAAGATTTCAATTGGTGAGAATTCAAATTTGATATCATGCAAACGACACAATTTCATACATAATTTCATTTTGCTCTTAATTTCTGTTCTGTGCTCATCGCATGCAATCACATATACATGTATGATTCTAAAAACACTGATTTAATTGTATTCTTTTATTATTTCGGTCGTAATTTTTGTTTTTGTTTTCTTTCGTTTTCATAGTTTTTGTTTGGCTTTAGCTCGTTGTCTTCGAGGTGTACATGGTTTTCGTTTTCCTTGTGTTATTAACAGATTGAAATTGTTTGTTTTTGTTGAAGTATCAACACGAAATTAGACAAATGTTAAGGGGGAAAACAGCAATATTCGTTGGATTGTGATTAGTGTACGTCAATCTTCATTCAAGAAGAAATTGGATATTTTGAATATTCATTTTCTGCTGTCATTACAAACTTTAATCTATGTACAAACCATTGAAGTCCTATTTAACGGAAATTCATTCTCATCTATTATTCTAAACTTTGAAATCAAAAGTATCACTCACATAAATTTTTTAATCAAATTCAATGTTTCATTAGTTATTTTCCCTTTCGAGAAATTCAAACGCAATTTTTGGCCATTAGTTTGTTTCACATCTTCATTTGATCAATGTTTGTTTCGTCTCTTAATTCAAAACAAATTTTTCCTTATTCAAACAATTTAAATGTACAAATTGATTCAATGCTGTTATTGACTGAAACCGAAAAAAAAATTGTGTTAAACTATGATTTCCAGCTCATTCGATGTCATTGAATCATTTTACGGAACAAATTTTCGATGACGCCATAATCGACAACAAAATTACCGCCATCAGTGCAAATGATATGAAAAATCATCATGATTTTTTGTATCCGTACAATTTAACAGTATTTCGAACAATGCCAACATTGGATAATGTTCGCTTTTCACCTGGCACCGAAGCCGAAAAGTATGAAAAAAGTAAGTGCCACCAATTGAAAAATCGAAATTGTTGATTAGGAAATGACTACAAAAATCAATAATTAAAACGATGAAGAAAATCCGAAACTAAATCGAATGAAATGAAAACGATCAATTTCAGGTTTATCCACATTTTCGTTGGCCAAAAATATCGATTCACTGCAAATCACATGTGATTCAGTCTATCAGATTTGCAAAAGTAATGCGGCGTGTTCAGAAGCTTTGAAGCCGGTTATACAATACTGTGACTTCCATATATGCAACCAAAATGCATGCTTAGATGCCCTTCAAGCATTTTATCGGCTATCCAATGAGGATTTTACATTGGATATTGCATTTTGTGTGTGCAAGTAAGTGAAAAGAAAACCCAAGGCGAATCAATTTTCGGTTTTTTGACTAATTGAGAATATATTTCGATTTGAATCGACAGTAAATTGCCGCATCACAGTGATTCGTGCCTGAGAGCGCAGGAGAAATTGCATCCAACATGTGCTAAAAGTCCGGATTTGATTGATATGGATCCATCGAATGGTGCTGTTTACACATCCATTCAACCAGCCTGTCATACCGTTGCTGAAGTGTGTCGAAACGACGCAAGTTGCAGGTGAGCGAACGGATGTTTTGAGTTTAGTTTTCATTTTTGGTCAAACACTAATTGAAAAATGTAATTCAACACATTGATCAGGTCACGTCTTGAGCAATATGAACAGTCGTGTGCAATCGATAGTTCAACACTGAAGTGTGCTGGTCACCCAAGTGCATGTCGAACGGCGATTTTGGGCATCCTGGGAACGCCATTACGAACAACGTGTTCATGCCATAATACCGATTTAGTTTACGAATGTTTGGGGTGGTATCGCCTTCTCTGGTTAAATACATGTGTTGGTAAGCTTGTACAAAACCATGCGAATTCATCGGAGAATTGTGAATATAACGCTTTTTTTCATTCGAATTGGTTTTTATTTTGTGTGTGTGTGTGTGTGTGTGTGTCTATTTAGCCGAAACACAATTAGACTTCCATTTGAAGCGTTTTAATGAGGTGAGCGTTTCGATGGCATCAAAACCAGAAAATAACATTGATGTAATTACAAGCAGTACGACCAGAGCAACTACAACAAGAACTACATCAACTCATGCAACAAAAACAACAACAACACTTTTTAGAAAATCTTCGGATAATCGGGTAAAAGTGAGATTCAATCATGAAAAGAAAAAAATAACGGTTATTAGAATCTGTTCTTCTTTCTGCCTGCGGTTTAGTTTCACAAAGTAAATATAATACAGACAACAACGCCAATGACGGTGGTGGTTTTGGAAAAAGTGTTGGTCAGTACACAGCCGGTGTTCCCGGAGAAATTCGATGTTCAAACCAACGAAAATGTATTGCCACAAAAGACAATTGACTACAATAGCATTGCCGAAGAGTTTACCGATCAAAATGATACGGTCATCGATTTGATAATGCAAACACAACTGAAAACAGAGCCAATTACAACGCCTGAGCCAAGTATTTATTTAATGTTAATTTCAGTTCAGTTGTCCCGTTTCCTAATCGACTTTTGTTCTCCTTGTAAATTTTCTATAGGATATTGTATTGTTCAAAGGCCGCGACAATCTGATCAGTTAATATCAGTGAATAATGCTCGACGGGTTTGTATTACCACATATGTCTACCTATCTAATGTGCCTCGTTCCGGCTAAATACATTTTACTGAACTTTGTTCCATTTCGTTTCTGCAACTTCAATATATCTAGATATACTCGTTGGATGACGCCGAATGCAGTGAACTATGCTTTTGTACGGATTCACTGGTACTTACGTGTCACGCACTATGCGTTCCAATAGCGCCTTGTCGAACGGCGCTGGCATTCTACAGCCATGCATCACCGGCATATCAGGCATTCAGGGGCCGCTGTCTTTGTTATTCGGGCAAATTTATTTGCATGAGACCGCCGCCTGGTGACTATGCATTACCCGGTGAGTGTATGTTTTTAATGTTTTTCTTCTTCTTCTTCTTCTTCTTCTTCTTCTATTTTTGGTGCAATTTATGACCGAAAACGACGATCACAAATTTTCCAAATTCACAATGGACAAGCTGACCATGACCTTATTCGTATATGTTTTAGGCGGCATTTTCCTATTGTTAGGCTATAGCTCTATGGATGAAGAGTTACTGAGAGCGTACACGAACTTGGGAATTCAAGATACCATTAGAGCCTTTCAGCAGTATATCTACAATCATATTGATAATCAAGTATGTTCAATATATTTTAAGACACTCCCCAGAAGACGAAAATACAACACTAGGCATATTTTCTTTATCTTTGTTTTCAGTCAACATGCGTGTTATCAGCACTGAATTTAACCGACGAAAATGCAATTATTTCCGTTCGATTACAAAATTACTCAAACGCAACTCCGATGGAAGCGTTCGATGCTCTTAAGGTAAGTTCACTTTTTATTCTTATTTTTCGAGTTTTTTTAGATCTCATTTTATTCTATTTTAATTTATTCAACAAATCAATTCTTGAGAAATCTTTCTGATTACATACAATTTTTATTTCTTTCAATTTATTGATTGAAAGTTTTTTTTTCGAATATTTTTCTTCCTCTTAATTGACTAACGCTCCTACATATATCTTTTTCCACTTCAATAGGATCAGTGCATTTCTGTAATGGAACAGATCAGCTACGATATAAATTCACAAAGTGCTGAGCTGATGGCACATCAGTTGTTAAGTGTATATAAAATGGCCGAGGTTCAGATCGTGTCTCCCGAAGTAAATTGTTCACCTGTTACGTTTAGCTTGTCATTGCTTTCATTATTATCACTCACATTATCAATCACACAACTCCTTATGCCTTTACTTAGTCATCAGTTTGTAAGAATAATCGCATTAAGGTTATAAATTGTTTTCGCTTAGAAGCACCCACATTTAAACGAAGCAGAAGAAGAGGAGGATAAAATAAAATTGTTCAGACAAATGAAAAAAAAAGTCATTATATAAAAGAAAGCATTTAATGAGACAAAATAAAAAAAAATCGTTAAATTTGAATGAGAGAAGAAAAAAATATATTAAGAAAATCAGACTTTACATCCATTGATAATTTCACCACGCATTCAATTTTAGTCATACATCATAAAACATATCAATCATTCAACAACAACAAAAAACATCATATTTACCGGAGGAATGAGCAAACAGAAAAAAATAACTAGTACATAGAAATTAGTATAACATTCTCGGCAACGGACATTTAAATTACCAATTTAAAATGTGAAACGATGCCACACAAAAACTGTTTCGATAAACGCAAACGATACATATCAATGCAATGACTTGAATTTCTTTATTGAGAAGATATATACAAAATTTGTTGAATTTTCATCTGTTCTGTTTGTTTTTTTTGTTCATTGTTTTCCAGAAGAAAAATTGGAATGGATTGGCATTCCAAGCCAATATATCTATTCTTAATATTATCTATTGGAGTGTTTCACAAACACTCGAAAACATATCTGATCTGAAAAAACCGTGTCCAGTTTTTGATTTCGATAGGAAATTTTTGAATTTGCCACACATATACTTCATATTTTTTCGGGTAGTTCTAAAATCCTTATTATTCTAAACTTAGTCCAATTGTACTATTGATTTCAAGGAAATCGAACATGAAATCAACATCTGAGATTATATGCGAGATGAAGAAAGAAAAAAACTGAAAACAAAAACCAATAAACCGGCAAAGTTATCAATATAAATAAATAAATTTAAAGGAAAAAAACCAAACAACAACAACAAATGCCTTTTTGCATGATGATCCAAAAAAAATTACCTTGGAAATTGAATTAATTTGCAGGGCTAAAGGTAACAATTCGTCGCAATAATTTTAATGAAAATATCCTGGAAAAGAAACGATTATTACACGAAAATTAAAATAAGTTTTTGAGGCCATCGTTGATTGGACGTGTGAATTCAACACGAATTCTTGTTTATGGCTGCAACAAATAATAACACGAAAGTATTCCGTGCGACCTTTAATGAAACCTTAGTGTTGCTCTATTTTACATTGATTTGTGAAAAAAAAGTTGTATTTTATTCTTCGCCACATTTCAAAACAGCACACAACCTATTTACACACATGCATCAACAACACTCAATGAAATACAAAGATCTGATTTTAATATTAAAGATGTGTTTTCTTTTATTTCAAAATGAATTAAATAAATCCCGCTTTGCGTTTTTTTCATTCGTATTGTGTTCCGAACAAAGACAAATCGCTAGTGCTTAGTTAATTGTGAGTGTTCATCAAATTGTAATTAATTTGTTTCTATTTGTTGTTTCCTTTTTTATTTGTAAAGTAAATAGAGTAACAAACTACTAAGTTACAAAATCGCTTAGGCTCGATCAAAAACAATAAGAAAATGTTTGAGAGAACAAAATAAAAGAACTGTGTGCGATGGATTCGAGGTGAAATGTTATTATTTGGCGGCGGCAGCTTGTTGTTGAGCGGCTTGAAGGGCGGCAACTTTCATTTCGATGACATCGATGACGGCATTCAATACTTTGGACTTTTGTCGGCCGAGCGTATCAATTTTGTCCATTTGTTCCTGTACATAGTCCACTTTCCGTTTAAAGTAGTCTTTTGATGTGGTGATGTCTTTTTCAACGTAGTAACCGGTGCCAATGTCAATAATGAATTTATCGATATTATTAACGACTCCCTTCACGTACATGCTACCGGTCAACGGGACCAAAATCTCTTTATCCGACCAGGTGTCATTTATTTGTTCCAGAGCCTCTTTCGAACCATCAAACTTTGTTTTGGCTATCTTGAGGGTTTGTAGCGAATCTTGGAACACATTCAATTCCTGTGGAAAAAATGGAAGAAAAAATAATAATAAAATCAGTGGATTCATTCACGAGATGCGGTGCTTATGTGTGGGTGTGCATGACACTTTTTTTTTGTAAGTTTTATTTTTGGTTAGTCATATATGTATTCCATCGTACCGATTCGAATTCATTTTTCAACTGCTGCAATTGCTGGAGATTGAGTTTAGTCAAGTCGATTTGTTGCACTTCTTGTGTCGGCCGTGTTGACATTTTGTCGTCTCTGTGGCGAAACTGATTTTAATTGATAAAATTTGCGAAAAATACAATTTACTTTTTCGTTCAATTAACTGCACCTAGCGTGTTTTGACGTGAAATGTGGTCGCTTTTATTCGATGACAGAAGCTAAAAATAATCACCATGAAGTTGCTTAGAATCATGCCCCTGGAATTGACCGTTCATGCGATAGATGGAGTTGCCTGTAAATTGCTCAGTGTTTCAAATCGGTTTGGTTTTTTCTCAAAATAAAAGCCATTTCAACCATTTTCATTAGTTTATCGATTTTTTTTATTGAGAACAAATAATTCCTATACGAATCAGCTTACGAACGCACATATTCACTTATTTGGTACATCATTTATTTAATTAAATTTTTCTAAATTCAATTTACGCGTGATCGAATAAATATATATATGATCTCATATGATTCGAGGCGAAAAGGTATTTGAGTTCCGTTCCGATTTGGAAGTACTCAAAACCCAACGAGAAAAAAAGAAAAAGAATTTTCATAATGAACAAAAAAAACTGAAAGAAAAACTACATAAAATTGATAATGCCATCCATCGTTCTGTATCATTTCCCATTCGAACCAGTTAATCAATTAAAATCATCATTTTGCGGCAAAAACGGTATTTATCATTATTCAAAAAGCGTACAGATGAAATTGGGATGCTTTTCTTTAAAAAAAAAACAACAAATTCTTTAGATGATGCTAAATGAGCGCCTAATCGCAAATGGTGTATGTGTTTAGTAGTGGTCATGGCCAGTGTGGACTGGAGCGGTTTTGTGTACGATCGCATTGAAACTGTGAATGAACAAATCGAATAAAAATGATTTTTTTTAATTAGGTGTTGTTTATTGAGTTAAATCGTTGCTAAATTCATTGATTCCGAATGGAGTTAGGAAATTCCAAGTCATAAATGTGATTCAAAATTAACTCATTAATGGTAACAATAGTTGAGCAACAATGGGTTCATTTGGCCCAGTGACCACAAGTGAATAATTCAATCGAAAGGAGAATCAAATGTTTTCAATAAAACTTACCCATTCAATTTATCAGCTGTGTAGTCCACAGTTCTAATAGAACCATCAGGCTCAACCTGTTAAAATGGGCAATTATTAATATCACGTATTTCTAATCACACCAATGTATACAATGTATACTCAGATCATGATCCTTACCAAGGAATATTGTCCTTTGACAACATCGCCGTCACGTGTTTCATGTTGTGATTTCACGTCGCCAGTATGGTAGTCGTTGACGCCGTATTTGAAGCTATGAAAATCGATTAATAATTAGTATAATAAACTTTTTAATACTTACTCTATATTACTTACGCGTATTTAGGCGGTGCCTAGGAGGGTTTACCCAACGGATTCGTTTCAAACATATGTGTGTACAATACAAGTTGTTTCATATGAAACAGAAGAGAAAAAGAGGAAATTCAGTAAATTGATCATTGTTACGCTGTCGGATGTAGCATTGATTGCGATAATGTAAAATCGAAGTGAAAATCGAACGAGAGAAAATATATGCAAAATATTTAACGAACGAGTGAACGAAAGCAGATCCATATTATCATAATGATAAGGCAAAACGGAATAGTTTGTCTAATTATTTCGTGTTTAAAAAAGCGATTTAAAATTGACTTCCAGCATCGATTTCGAATATTTTCAGCGTTTCGAATATATTCGCCGCAACATCGTTGAGAATGCAGCACATAACAATCAGATGAAATGATCAGATTGTTATAATCATTGCATGCAGTTTATTTTTTTTTTGCGTCACATACAAAACTTCCAATTGCACTGTGTTATGCATGCATCTCATGGCACTGACCTCGAATTTTTTTAACGTTAAAGTGTAACGTAACTTTCACTGATTCATTCACTCTGCCAAGAAGAAGAGATGTGCAAGTTTTTTTTCCTGTACACACGCGTTCGCGTAACTCGAATTGAGTCATATATGCAGAAGTGAAGAAGAATAAACAAATGGATAAATGGAAGCACGAGACGTGAGAGAGATAAATGAGGAGAAACAATGATAAGAAAATGCAGCTATGCAATGATAGGCGCAATGACGTTAATGAATGTACAAAACTGCATTTTATGTACGTGGCTAGATGCTCTATACGGAATGGTAATTGAGATGCGCGTCTAACGTAATGATCAAACCAGCTCATTTTTTTTTTCATTGATCTTATGCATGCGTTGTAATCATTTGTATGCCTCGTTTTTTCTATCGTTATCATCTGGTAGCACTGGTAGTTTTGTAGTCGGTTTTTTTCTTCTTCTTTTTATTCAGTGAGTGCACTCGCTCGCATTAATGTCTTAGGAAAATTTATTTATATATATTCGTACGTTTGATGTGGCTTTCTCATTTCTGGTGTATTTTGAATGTTCCGATTTTGTTGTTGTTGTTCAAACATACAAAACGAAGTGGAAAAACCACACGTCCAATTACGATTTTCGTCTTATCAACAATGCAACGCTTCAAACAAATATATAACTAAACGGCTTGTTAGCAAAAAAAAAAAACTAAATGGTTTGTTAGCTTTCGTTTTGAATTTGGAAGAGATAAAAAGGATTAAAAATGCAAAGAGAAAAAAGATAGAAATTTTGTATACGTACATAGTAATCGACGTGTTCATCTTCATGGCCTCCCAATTCATGTACGCCTATTCTTGAAGATGCAACTGGTTGATAACTGCCGTTTTCGAAGTTGTCACCGCCATCATGTGAACTGAGATCGTGTCCTGCATATTGGTAGTCCTCGAATACTGGATAAGCAAATGCGGTACAGCACAAAGCAGCTGATGCAAGGATGATGAACTGAAACGTAAACCATCAAGGGGGCAACACATTTTAGCTAATTACACCTTTTGCTTAATTTTTCTTCATCATCATCATCATCATCTTCTTCCATCATCTTCATCTCTACTACATTGTCTGAACACACCACGATGCACATATGCAACTAGAAATGCAACACGATTTCCCTCATATGCAATTACGACATCTATTTATGGCTCTTATCATCGATCAAGTCAGCGCTTGCATCACAGGCGCATTAAAATCATGAAGAAGAAGAAAAAAGACGTGTTATTGAACGTCTTGTCTTTGCTAAAAAGCTATTGACCTATGATTACTAATCACACAGACACACCGAAAACGTGTTCGCATGAAAGTGAATACAGGCATGTATAAATCTCCAACAACCGGCTCCTCATACCATACCATTCGGCTGCATGGAAAATAGATATCATGTACCGGTAAATATTGTAAGCATTTTTTGATCATATACAATGCGATACAAAATGCAAAACAATATAAATGCGCTAACAAAATCAACGCAACAACAACAAACATCTCCCACATACACACAGGCCACGGCACACGTGCGAAAAAAAAAATATCGACGTGAAGAAATGCAACGATACGTCGTTCAAAGCGCACGAAAGAAAGGTGAAATGACCGTAAAAAACACATGTAGCTGATATTTTTATTACGTTTACTACTACTCATCATTCATTGGGTAAAATATCAACACGATATCTATCGATATTCTATGTGTTTCTTAACAAGAAAAAAAGCACGACGACGACAGCAGCAACAGTCACCACAGCCGCAAACAATTATGTGAACCCCTGAGAGCGTTGACGCGGTTGTAAATTTTTTCCCGTTTTGTTGTGTCAAGAATCTCGTGCAAGTGCAATGAAACGAAAGAAAGACGTGCGTGCAACACTTTTTGAGGATCATCGTCCACATACACACACACCCGAGTTAACGACAGCTATGCTTCGATTATGCATTTATCCGCGCAAACTGGTTGACACTCAATGAGCAAGTTCACTTTCATTCTTTCATAACAATTTATTTTAAACGCGTTTAACGGCATATCTTTCTCTCAGTTTTTCCTTAGTTATGCCGACTCATAGGCTTTGTTTTGACTCGTTTTTTTCTCTTTCTCTTTTATGCCGTTGATTTCGAATCCAAAGTCAAATGTTATACGAGATGTATTATTTAAACGATCTCATAATGTCATCGAATCGGATATATTTTATCGTGCATTGCACGGATAAGTGACGCAGAAAATTAGACACTGGAACTTGTGTCACTTGAATAAATAGATCGTAGGTTTTCTTTTCTCGGTGGGCTTACATTTTTTAGGAAATAGAAAGGGCAAAATGATTTGAATTTTATTCAGGTAACAAATCTTCAATTGATAGTTCCATTTCGATGAAGGAAAAAAAATGAAAGGTAAAAAATGTGGTTGAAAAATACATAGATATGATAGGAAGTAAACGATGCATATCGCGCAGCACCATATACAATTGCAACCAAATCCATTCTCGATCTCTTTCAAGTTATCCGATATTATTATTTCATAACCGATACCGACGAACATTGAATAATCAACGAACGATATCGATGAAATAATAAATTTTTATTGGAAAAATTAAAACCATTTTGCTTTGCGAACAATTATAATGCGAATTGTTAGCGAAAAAACTAATAAGAAGAAGACAATGCTGTTGGGTAATCGATTGTAAATCGAAACTTGTTAAAAAATTCTCCACATAACGCGCATTTTTCTTCATTAATTTGATATAATTAACGATATTATTTAATAACTGGTCATCCGATACCAAATTATATCAATTATCCATTATTACAAGAATTTTAGATCCTTTGATTGCACAACAATTTGAATTACATTGCGTCAACTTTTGAATTGGACGAATTTTCGTTTTTAAATTTTGCACACGCAACCACTTGGAACCATGCTCTAGTTTTTATTCGAAATTTGAATGTAGAGCTAATTGTCACCTAATTGAACGGGGGGAGTTAATTGCAATCAATTTCAGGAAGGAGCGCCAAGTCTTGTACGAAATTCTTCTCTGTCATTTTATCATGCGCATCCCTACTTGAATTCTGGATTTTGTGCGAATTTCGTTGGTATTCTTCAACCAAGAATCATTCAAATGACGAAGTAGATCGTCATTTGAATCATGTGTACAAGAAAATGTGATGTTTTTACTTCGAATGTTTAATTTTGTGTTGAAAAATTGATCTTGTTTTTTACCAAAATAAAAATTATGCTAACAAATCGTCTATATGCAAATGTTTGAAAAGTATTTAAATAAATCCTTGAGATGTGTACGACACAACAGAAATTCTCTTGAATTTGATACTGGACTGAATTGAATGAAATATATCTGCAGAGTAACAATGATTACTAAATAACTGAATAAATAACGAAAGAGTTCTTGAGGCACAATCACACGTGAGAAAGACAAAAGGATTGCCCGAAATTTATTTGAGCCTTGTCGTTGCACCAAACACAAATAAAAAATTGTTAAAAAAGGATATTTAAAACAAAGTTTACCTTAAATGCCATTTTTTTAAAGAATGTAATAAAAACTATTTAAAAACAATTGAAAACTGAAGAAAAATTGCACTAAACCACAAATTGACTATTTGAAATGGATTCACTAACGTTTTTTTTTCTTCGTTTAAATTTATTTCGATACGTTGTTGTTTGGTTTTTTTTTCGTTTGTCGATTGATTCGAAAAAAAAATCGATGTTTGCGAGCTGTTGATTTGTCAGAGTGATACTAGTTTGCTGAACCACTTTTCAACTGAGAATGATAACTGTGAACTTAACCACGGCTTCTTTTATATTCCAAATGAAAGCGAAATTCACCTTGCGATTACGATAAATACTTCTTCATTTTTTCGTATTCGTTGGCTTTTCAACACATTTGAAAAAAAATAGTTGGGTAAAATGTGTGGCATATAGACATGGAGCCCATACATAGATAGATGTACAGAATGAAAGCATGAGCTTCATACTGTTATACTCGCAGAAAATGATAATACATGTATTGTGTGTGGCGGTAATGTGATTTGCACCAAACAGCGTTTGTATCGACTGAATGAATGTTAAGAAAAATTACATTGAAGACAAAAACAACGGAACGAACGAGAGCGAAACAAAAAAAAATATGAAAATGAGCACAAAAATAAAAACGAAGGCACACACCATCGATAGCGCGAGCAAGAGAGAAAAACACCACCGAAGAAGAAGAAGAAGAAGAAACGGTTACAGAAAGTTTTGTCACGCTGGATCTCTGTGTATACAAGTGCTGGCGTTTTTCTTTTGTTTTTGATTATTTCTTCTTTTTTTTCGTGTGTGCGAATCACTGCGATTCAGATCGATGTATTGGTTGGCTTTGGTCTGGAATTGATGCAACATCGTGGTACAACCGAATCGATTTTTTTTCGTAAATTCATTGCCCAGCTCAAACAACACCATAAACTGAAATGTTTTTCCGTTCGTTTTTTTTTTTTTTTTGGTAAAACACTGTCAGAGCGGCAGTGGTTTCTTTTTGTTGGTGTTTCACATGTAAAAGTATTGTTTACTCTCAATTTCGGCCATCATAAGCTGATTCCAATGCAACGACTGTCAGTTGCTTCGAAAAATAACGGTGAAAAATAAAATTTATCATGTGAAACAGTGTGATACAATAATTTTTTTCTCTTGTCATAATATTCATTCCACTCGCAAACTCCGAACAGCGCACATTGGCTCTTCGGACTATTTGCATAGGCTTTATTAATCACTTCTGTCATTTCAAGTATTAATATTGAAATCTGGAATTTTCTTCCAACGCGTCTCTCGTAAATCAGCTCGCAATCGGCCGGCAAGCGATCGAATTTCAGCGGTAAGTGCATTTATTAAGTCTAAAGGCATCCAAACGTGTTTACTTTTTTTTTCTCCCTAAATATCAGTTATTATCAAATCAGTTGTGCACGGTGTGTGAGCCTGTGTTTTCATGTGTTATTCATAATGTCTTCTTTAGTACAAATTAATCATTTCAAATGCAATCATTAATTTTACATTTTATGTAATAAATTATGGAAATTTGTTTCCGAAATTTTCGATTGTTGTAAATTTTAAATTTCACTTTGCCTGAAGATCTTTTTTGTTTTTGTTTTATTTTCCTCTCAAACCAAAATGTGTGCATAAATTGCTTTAACGAAAAAAAAAATAGTAAAGAAAAGTAAATTTATTGAATCGGAATTGCAGAATGTTTCGAACTTCTCCTCCTTTCTCTCCCTCCCTCTCTCACCGCACCATCAGCATCAGCAGCATCCTGAATACGCTAGGTTCATGGAACTCAGGAAATTCCGTTCTTTGTGAGTTGGCCATTGTTTATTCCGCTGAATGGATGATAGGCTAGGATATGTTCAAACAATTAATAAATTGAAATAATGAGCATGGTGAGAGAGTCATTTAACAACATCATGACTGCAGCCATTCAATTGCGCTCGGGTGAAAAGAAAAAAAATATTGAATTTTTTTTTACAAACAATAACACCGCCTAAAAGCGCAGTGAAATCCATCTGAAATTCAGGAATGCTTGCTGTTGTTGTTATTCACAAAAACAAGCTATAATAACGAAACGGTATAAATAAATTTAATCATTTTATTATTGTGAATCGACAAGAGGAAGCATAGCTAACCGTATATACTCTATAAGATGATTTTGCCAGATTTTTCATTTCTTTTATTTTGCACATTTCTTCTCTCGTTTTCAATCACAGCACAAAACAATGAGCCGATAATAAAGATGTAATAAATGAACAGAAAGTCTGTATGTATCCGGTTTTCTCTGTCTCTCTCATTTTAATTTTGAAAGGTGATTTATTTCAACACATGCTGATCACATTTCACAATGTGCACACATCTCGTCAATTGATTTGATATCAAAATCAATTGTGTCTTATTCATTTTGTTGCCGTTATTGTTCTTCGGTTTTCAATTGATTTCGAGTCAATCGTTCAAAATAATATGCTCAAGCGATTGTTTTTTTTTTCTTCATATCGTTTTAAAAATCAATTGTAATGTGAAGAAAAACGAGGTATATTAACAGGAAAAGATTAAAAATATATTTTAAGAGAAAGAAACTATCTACAAAGATGCAAAGACAAAAGAAAATCATTCTTAATACTCAAACTTCATCGACGATTCAATACGACACATCGTTCCAACTCCAAACAATCCTAATGAAGGAATCGTCTCATGCAAAACCAAACAAAAATCCATTGTTTTGTTATCGCAATGAAATATATGAAATATTCCAGCGAACATTTCCCATACAATTTTTGCATGTTTTCTTTTTTTCTTTTCTTTTTGGTGTGATAAAATCGGATCCGATTGCTCAGATCCAAACAAAAAATTGTCATTTAGACTCATTTGAGTGCTCCTATCCGCAGAAATCTTTAGTAAAAGGCGAAAGATTTATTTGACATCGAATAGAAGCCAGAGTGACGAACCAAACGATACACAGCCACCATATGCATATTGCTCAGTCGTTGCGCCAGCGAACTATAACAGCGCTACAGTTGAAACGAGAGTCGTTCATCGGTTCTTGCTCTATGTGAGACGTGTTGTGTGAGACGTGCCATTGCCTTATACGTTCATCGGATTGTCGTTCGGTTGTTCGCTCACTTTGCTATACCCGGCATTAACGTACGAACAATTTTATGCAAAACACCATTAAACGCTTAAACGCTACTTACGTTACGTTTGCTACATTAAACCAGAGTGTGGTTATTTATAAGGAAAATGAATTTATAATTAATCAATAACCGAAAAAAATACAGCAAATAATAAAATTACACTTTTTGTACACCAAAATGTATGCATGTTTTTTTTTTTTGAAACGTTTTTTCTCTTTTCAGCTGAGAAATGGATTTTTTGAAGGAAAAAAAAATCAAACAAAGTCGTTTTCATTTGCATGAAATGAAGAAATCAAAACTGACAAGCATGTGAGTGGGAAACGCACACAAACCAACAAAACTTCATCGAAATTATTTGTTGTAATAATTCAATCGAATCGTTGCGTCGTGACCCATTACACTGAAATGAATGAGCGCAAAACTTTAAAAGATTTTCAATTGATTATTATAATCTGTGTTGTCATCTACATTAGCAAGACACATTTTCGGTTTGAACAGCATAATTTAAAGAAGAAGAAAAACTCCAACAACAGAATCTGTTCGGCATCATTTTAAAAGTCAAGCAAATTTCCCGCTTCAAACATTCTGTTTGTCATCCACGAATTTATTTCATGCTTTTCCAAATGTGGAAAAGAGAATTGGTTTTTCAGATCGTTTTGCATATAAACATGCGATCATGGTGCATTGTCTACCGGCACTTACGACCAAAAAAAAAAAAATAAAACAGAAAAAATAACAACAAACAAACAAACGAATGCATCGGTTGGGTCGATGATTTTGTGACATTTGAACATTTGCTTTGGAATCAAATAAAAACCCATGCTCGACGAGCGTGTGTGTGTGTGTGAATTTGAATGGGCGACAAGGAGAATTATTACGATTGGCGAACGCCGACGGCATCCATGTACATTAAAAGAAATTGCACCTTCGACTCAATAGACGTTCGGCCGGGTACCATATGCAATTGGCACATAAACTGTGACCAGTTGAGATAGAAACCCACATATTTGACACACATTTAATATATCACATTAAAAACAACACCGATTTTTCGCAAAAATAAATAGAAGGGGCTACACTTAAAGACGAAACATAAAATATCAGCTAAAGAGGAAAAAAATTATGTAATTTTACTTTCATATATGCTCTGTGCAGAATCTTTTTCACTTCGTGTGGCTTTTTTTTATTAACATCAGTATTAGCCCGTCTCTCTTTCGCTTTCTTTCTCTCTCTTTCTCTCTCTCTCTCTCTCTCTCTCTGTTTGTGTGCGTCGATGTAATTTTTGTCAGCTTCCCAAGACAAAAGGTCTATGCGATTAGATTAGGAACACTTTCAATTTCAATAATATCACACGGACACGTTGGCTTCGAACGACTGATAGTTTCAAATTTTATGACCGTTGCATTTTGATAGTGATACAATTCCATGGAAAAATGACCGGAAAGAGTTCATCTTTATTTGTTTGGTACTTTCGAAATAATTGATCGATTTGACATCGTATGTGAGAGTACAATAAAAAATTCCCTTCATAAATTCAAATTCAGGCGAAGAATCTCGTTTAAACATTTTTAATTTAGCCATTTTTTTCTCGAACCGATCAAAGTCTTAAGTAACAAACAGGCAATTCCGATGTGAAGCGTACGAATGAAAAAAAAAATTGTTTATTTAGTACAAAGTCATTCACAGAAGAAAAAAAACTAAATTGATGTGTTTGTAATGAAGAATTCGAACAAACGCACATTTTAAATAAGATGCGAACTGTTGATTCGACAGCTGACATAAATAGAGCGAGCGAAAAGCACAAAACGTATAAGGCAAACATCATACACATACCGCACACAACGCGTATCACATAGCAAGAACCGATGAACGACTCTCGTTTCATCCGTAGCGCTGTTATAATTCGCTGACGCAACGACTGAGCAATATGCATATGGTGGCTGTGTATCGTTTGGTTCGTCACTCTGGCTTCTATTCGATGTCAAATAAATCTTTCGCCTTTTACTAAAGATTTCTGCGGATAGGAGCACTCAAATGAGTCTAAATGACAATTTTTTGTTTGGATCTGAGCAATCGGATCCATTTTAACCACTTGAAATATTTAGAAGAAAAAAAAAGCAACAGAAACACATTCGGCGAACGGCAACGAAAAAAACGCGCAAAAATTTCGTCTTGCTGTAAATAGAATTGGCCGGCAAATGAGTACATTTATAAGATGTACTAAAGATTCAAAGGTGATTCCATAATTTTTAACCAGTTTGCTGAGCGCGATCGTGTGAGATCTTTGAAACATGGCCGTTTCGCAATAAAATGCTTTTAATTTATTACAATTTATTTGTTGTTGTCGTAGTCGTTGTTTGTTGTTATTCGACCGTCGTCTATTATTGATTACTTGTAAAAAGGTATCGAAATTTATTATGGGCTGCCAGAATCGGTTGCGAAGCGTGTGTGTTTAGTTAATTAAAACTCCATTGCATTTCCATTCGATTAAAAAAAGAAAGAAGAGTGACAAATCACAATTGGTGGTGGCGACAGCAGCAACAGCCAACACAGCAACGGCACATGCATATGTGGTGGAAGAGAATCAAGTCACGTATGATATGTGCATAGCCTGATCGATGATGATGATTAAACGTGACATTTAATATGGCTCTGGCCGATTTTATTAGGAAACTTTTAAAATACCAAAAACAAACACATAGCGCCGCGGCAAATGGGTTTTTTTCTGTTGTGTGTTTTTGTCTCGGGGCAAGCGCATGCGAGTGTGCAGTAGCTGAACGATGGCAGTGAGGCAGCGCTAGCGGCGTTGGAACGAAGCAAAAGAGACAAAAAAAAGCACACCGAGCTCAACGAGCCCAACAAGCCAGAAAATCAATGAAGCAATGGCACACAATTAATAGTGATTGTATGACGATTCTGCAACAGAAAATTTCATTATCTACGAATCTTTGATTTGAACTTTTCGAGCTGAGCAAGCGCGCGAATTCGTGTATTCTGAGAGCTCATGCTCAAATGAATTACCATATACTGGCAAGCGCCGAAATGGAGATGGCGAATAAAACCAAACAAATCGGGCTATGGCTCTAGCTCTGAGTGCACCGATCAACACACAACACACGGGATCGTATTTAAAATCCGTATATATTTATCTCAATTTAATGCCACAATCGTCTGGCCCATTAAAAACACCGTTTCGTTGTTGTACGCTGTTTGTTACGTGGTTTCATTTCTTTTCTTCTATTTTTCATTTTCGTATTCATACATTTATATATATATGACTTTAGAATGAACCAATGCATCAAATATAGATTGGAAAGCCGAATGTCGCATTCATGCTACGTGATATAGGACACAAGATATTCCATTTTTATGGACAGTCAGTTGTGATATTTCCATATGTGTGCAGCGGAGTCGAGCGGAGCCAAGTCGAGAGTCAGGCCATAGACAGCGTCAACCGAAGTACATAAATGTCAGAAGAGACGATGCCGGGAAGAAATTGAGAAGAAAATATTAGCAAACGACTACCAAAGTGAACACCAGGCGATAGTGTACTAGAGAGAATACCCATGTCTTCGGTTTCGATAGATTTTTGCGTTAATTTTTTTGTTGCTGTTGCTTTGAGGTTCAACTTGATGCAACACCAAATCTATTAAAAATCCATCCACAGGTCATGCACACGCTCAAGCCCATAAAATGTTTGCTTTTTTTTCATTCCAATTGACTAATTTCTAATAACCACATATAATCTGTGTGCGCATATTGAGAATCGCGCTCTGTTCGAAAAACTCTTCCGAGTTTTCTGACAATGTTGCGAATGGTGAAGTGACTGTGTCGTCGACACCGACACTGCCGAGTTCAATTTGATCACGATATTTCAAATTTTTGAGCACACCAGAAGCAAGCAACGATGCAAGAAAAAAAATGATGACGGAACATTGATTATCGTTAACATTTAAATAAAACCCCAACATCAAGCAATCAAACTAAGCGACTTTTCTACATGATGTTTTTCTCTTCGTTTTGCTTGTGTCTTGACATCAGCCGTTTGTGTCACATATTTTTCTTTATTAATTCATCGCACGGAGTTTGCACGTATCCAGTATACGATTTGCTTACTGTGTGCGCTTTGTTCCTGCTTTCCATCGTTGACAATTGCATCAGATTTATTTTTATGTATTTCTGTTTAGCTAATCGTGTTTAATAAAGAAAAGGACGGTTTATTCAAGCGTTTGCATCCAAAAATTATTATTTAATAGACGGCTGAAAGTGAAAATGCTTGCACATTCGAAATATGCATATGCATGTTGTTTGTAAGAACGTTGTGTGCTTGATCGCAAAAGAAAAACGAAGTAAAGTTGGTCACTGCTTACTTGAGTATTCAGCCCTCTTAGACAAACACACGCAGGCCTGAAGAGCTCATGGTACAGGTGTAAAGTTAAAGTATAAATTGAGTTATTGTGTAAAATGTTTTTTATGTATATTTTTTCCGAATAAAGGAAACATGCATGACAATGGATTTTTATAGTCGACATAATCGTAACCAAGTCAGTTTTTTTTTCGTCGATTCATGTGCAGCGCGCGACCAGATGCTGCCACACTAGACGGTTCGTAATAATTGGTGCACGATATTGCTAAGTTTGAATCTGTTGAGCATATTTACAACTATTACAACATCCAATTTGCGAACACAATGGCGCGTTCGATTTTTATGTTGTGTGGTTTTTAATGGCCAACTGTCTCTTGTTTGCCAATTCCCACGAGGTGCCGATTCGTCGATGCCACACTTGTGCGCTTCGATTTTGACCCACTCTCAACCATGATCAAACAACAATGCTTCCGATTCTAATGGGCCGTGTGCAAAAGTGTCGCTCTTCGCATTATCTATAACATTTGATCGAATCGCAGCACAACACTTCTAAATACACAGAAAAAAGTGAGATATTTTACTCGAGATTATTTGTTTTCATTCCAGTTCATTCGAATGTAATGCAGCCAGCAGCGCAAAGTGCTGCTCTGTTGTTGCAACTTGCAACCAGAGAGAAGAAATGATGACGGGCGGCCAAAATGTAAGAAAAAAAAAATATAGCACATAAAATGCACGTATCCATCGATGTGTGCTGTGTCAATTGCTAATCGCCAAATGGCTGCACTAAGCCACTAAACGCTGGCTTGAATGGCGTGAGTGGGGCATTTGGGATTAGCAACAAGCACACAAATACGAGATGTAGACAAGAAACTGCAGTGTTGGAGCGCGCGAGCGCGCGCACATCGATACTCTTAGCCGGTGTGGAGATCGAACGGGAAGAAATAATATATGATGAAAAATGTAATTTTCAAACGAAAATAGAAAATATATGCACTAGACGCGTTCGTTAAAGACACATAGCTAGAAGTCATGTAAGAAATATACGCGACATGCCGATTGCCGATCGGTGTGCATGTATTTGAATTAGCTGGCGCAACATACGATGCAAAACATGGCAAATCCTGTGTATAAAAGACGTTTCGGTTATGCGCAAAATTATCAGTTTGAGTTTTAAGAAGTTTAGGCATACAACTTGAGATCTCGCTCGCTTTTTTACTTCTTCACTGTTGGTGCTTTCACGAAAATTTACGAGTCAGCAAACATTCGCGCTGTATTATTTCGTTCTATTTTCCGGCTCATTTAACGCGGGCGATCGCATTTTTGAGCAATTTCAAGTGAACAAAATAAATCGCTGCATTATTTTCTTTTATTTTTTTTTGGGCTCTTGATTCTTTGTCAAAGTAATCGAATTATATTTATTTGGAACAAAACCGAAAACAATTTAACCGAAACGAAAGAAAAGTTGGCACGAATCAGTCCAAATCGTTCAAGATGAAGGTACGCAATTGATGTGATTAAAGTTGTGTGATTTTTCGTTTAAAGTTTTTAAATTTTATCGGTTAAATTAATTTTAAATGAAAGTGAAACAGTCGAGACAGTTTTTTTTCCTTTTCAGAACCGAGAAAAATTTAGATTTTTCAGACAAACAAAGTATTTCTAACTCGCAAGCAATCGAAGTTAAATTGGGTGAAGGCTCCTTTGATAAAATGAACGGTTACACAGTTAAATTGTTGGAAAGTCAAAAATTCCATGCTTTCGATAGGCATGATATTTGAATTATTGTGTCAATCAAGAAGCTTATTAAATTAGATCGCTATTCCAGTTGATATTGCATGAGAAATAGTCACATATCTCGTGGCTGCATTTGGAAGTTATGGAAACGGTGTTGTACAACCTCGATTATATCAACTAAGTGCTTTCATAAATCCAATTAATAATTGCGGAAAAATCTGATATCGTTGTGAGTGTGCGTGCGTGTGTGTTATATTGTCGCTTACTTTGCTCGATGTACTTTTTGGCACCTCTGTTGGTTAATTTTTTGGGGCCGTTGTGTCGATTCACACCATTTTTTTTTATTGGGCGCACCATTTCGCCTGAGTCATTAACAACGCGGTGTGATGTGTTGTGTTTGCTTCTATATTTTCATCGTTTTCGAACGGTATCGGCGCATAGTCAATTAACTCGTATAAGAATAACACAACAAACGCAATAAAAAAAACCAACAGCAACTAAAGTCAAAAGTAATCAAAACGCAATAAAACAAGGCATAACTTTAATGTGATGTGTGTAAAGCATACAATAGTTATGCATTTCGTCCCCTCCGCATAAATGTGCTTAACTATGACATTTATTTGCGTAAACTTTTCTCTCTCTCTCTCTCTCTCTCTCTCTCTTTCTCTTCGCGTCGCTGTTCAGTTCTCAATTACTTTTCCGGTCTACGTATTTCTTTTTGTTTGCGTCTGGATAATATAACTGTAAGTGACGTTCAATTATACATTTGGCCGTTGGATGGACTTTCCAGCCTCAATGCATCAACAACATGATGTGCGTTTTATTTTTATCTTATTTTTAGTTCGTAAAACAAACCAGATACAAAAACGCACACACACACACACACACCGTTTCCCCTCTGTCTCATTTTATGTAAATTGTTGATTTTTATTTTGTTTTGTTTTTTTACTGAACGAAAGAATTGATTTTCAGCCGAGTTTAGCTTCGATTGCGTTTACGTTTCTTTTTCTTGTAGTTTTCGTTTGTTTTACAATCTCTTTTAGTATTATATCAATGGTTTCGTATGTTTAATTTTGAAAGATCCCGCCGGTTTTCGTTTGCTTTTACTTTTCAGTGTATTTTGGTGGTTTTTGCAATCGTTGCTCTATCTGTATCTAATGCCATTCCAATCGAGCTCGGACATTATGCATCGCCCATTTATGCACCAGTTGCTAAAGCCATACTACCTGAACCAGTCGTAAGTGTTGTTTTAAATTAATTTCTCGTATAATATGCGAGAGAGAGAGAGAGAGAAAGAGAGAAATTATTTTTATGCTGCATATTAGAGTGGTGCGAAGAAAAAAAAAACAATATTTCAAATCATATATAAGCATCCGACTCTCGATCGCACCTTAGAGAGCCAACACGATCGAAATTACATCATGTTTGTGTATTCATCCAAGAATTACTTGAAACGATACACGATACACAAAGCTGAAGACGGCTGAATATACACTAGGGTGTTTTCGGTATTAAATAAACAGAAAATGGTAGTTTTAGTTT